ACTCACATGACCTAACGCCATTTATGAATAAAAGATCAAATATAGAACATAATAGTAGATAGTATAGACGGCGGTAGAGAGCAAGTGGTGAAAAGGTGGTACTGCACCCTAAAATCCCCAGAAAAGAGACGGCGCTCTTGAGCAAGTGGTGAAAGGTGTTACTGCACTTTGTTTTTCAAAGAGTTAGCTTCTGTTGGCCTGTGTGTGTGTGATAATGTTTCACAGTTGTCTAAAGTGTTTTATGATCACGGTGTATTCTAAAACAAGCAGTTAGGTCAATAAACTAATTAATCTACAGGTCCTCCCTGTTAACGACACGTGTGTGTGTCTGATAGTGATGAGCGGTTGGGAGGGCGTACTAGCAAATCAGAATGACAATAGTTGAGGTCTATTACAAGTTTTTCAGCTGTTCAAGTCTAGGACTGGTCTATAGTTGTGGTCTAGGTCTGGTCTATAGTTGTGGTCTAGGACTGGTCTATAGTTGTGGTCTAGGACTGGTCTACAGCTGTAGTCTAGGACTGGTCTATAGTTGTGATCTAGGACTGGTCTATAGCTGTGGTCTAGGACTGGTCTACAGCTGTAGTCTAGGACTGGTCTATAGTTGTGGTCTAGGACTGGTCTATAGCTGTGGTCTAGGACTGGTCTATAGCTGTGGTCTAGGACTGGTCTATAGCTGTGGTCTAGGACTGGTCTATAGCTGTGGTCTAGGACTGGTCTATAGCTGTGGTCTAGGACTGGTCTATAGCTGTGGTCTAGGACTGGTCTATAGCTGTGGTCTAGGACTGGTCTATAGCTGTGGTCTAGGACTGGTCTACAGCTGTAGTCTAGGACTGGTCTATAGTTGTGGTCTAGGACTGGTCTATAGCTGTGGTCTAGGACTGGTCTATAGCTGTGGTCTAGGACTGGTCTATAGTTGTGGTCTAGGACTGGTCTACAGCTGTAGTCTAGGACTGGTCTATAGTTGTGGTCTAGGTCTGGTCTATAGTTGAGGTCTAGGACTGGTCTACAGCTGTAGTCTAGGACTGGTCTATAGCTGTGGTCTAGGACTGGTCTATAGTTGTGGTCTAGGACTGGTCTACAGCTGTAGTCTAGGACTGGTCTATAGTTGTGGTCTAGGTCTGGTCTATAGTTGTGGTCTAGGACTGGTCTATAGTTGTGGTCTAGGACTGGTCTACAGCTGTAGTCTAGGACTGGTCTATAGTTGTGGTCTAGGTCTGGTCTATAGTTGTAGTCTAGGACTGGTCTACAGCTGTAGTCTAGGACTGGTCTATAGTTGTGATCTAGGACTGGTCTATAGCTGTGGTCTAGGACTGGTCTACAGCTGTAGTCTAGGACTGGTCTATAGTTGTGGTCTAGGACTGGTCTATAGCTGTGGTCTAGGACTGGTCTATAGCTGTGGTCTAGGACTGGTCTATAGCTGTGGTCTAGGACTGGTCTATAGCTGTGGTCTAGGACTGGTCTATAGCTGTGGTCTAGGACTGGTCTATAGCTGTGGTCTAGGACTGGTCTATAGCTGTGGTCTAGGACTGGTCTACAGCTGTAGTCTAGGACTGGTCTATAGTTGTGGTCTAGGACTGGTCTATAGCTGTGGTCTAGGACTGGTCTATAGCTGTGGTCTAGGACAGGTCTATAGCTGTGGTCTAGGACAGGTCTATAGCTGTGGTCTAGGACTGGTCTATAGCTGTGGTCTAGGACTGGTCTATAGCTGTGGTCTAGGACTGGTCTATAGCTGTGGTCTAGGACAGGTCTATAGCTGTGGTCTAGGACTGGTCTATAGCTGTGGTCTAGGACTGGTCTATAGCTGTGGTCTAGGACAGGTCTATAGCTGTGGTCTAGGACTGGTCTATAGCTGTGGTCTAGGACAGGTCTATAGCTGTGGTCTAGGACTGGTCTATAGCTGTGGTCTAGGACTGGTCTATAGCTGTGGTCTAGGACTGGTCTACAGCTGTGGTCCAGGACTGGTCTATAGCTGTGGTCTAGGATTGGTCTGAGATGAGGAAACTCGACCCAAAACGTGTGAAATCCAGAAGATAAAACTGTTTTAGACTGAACTCACTGAAAATGGACAAAAGTCTTCCTCTCATTCGTGAAGAAAATGTTTTTAAATAGACTCCGTATAATTATCTCACAAACGAGAATCTTGTTGACTATATTTTGGATCCATCCCATTTTTCTCTGAGCACAATTATAGTTATAAAAAGGATAAAACCCATTAGACCTCTGAAGCGCCGAACATTTAGCTTGAGTCATATTTCCAAAGAGGAACTACGTCAGACCTGCTCTTTGGCTGTGAGTCCCCTGGTCTCGTGGGGACTCTGGTCTGGACTCTGGTCTGGACTAATGTCTACAGAGCGACACTAATACGAAGCAAATGACACATCGACCTTAACACTCTGGACTTGGACTGTTCTATAGCTGTGGTCTAGGACTGGTCTATAGTTGTGGTCTAGGACTAGCCTATAGTTGTGGTCTAGGACTGGTCTATAGTTGTGGTCTAGGACTAGCCTATAGTTGTGGTCTAGGGCTGGCCTATAGTTGTGGTCTAGGACTGGCCTATAGTTGTGGTCTAGGACTGGTCTATAGTTGTGGTCTAGGACTGGTCTATAGCTGTGGTCTAGGACTGGTCTATAGTTGTGGTCTAGGACTGGTCTATAGTTGTGGTCTAGGACTGGTCTATAGCTGTGGTCTAGGACTGGTCTATAGTTGTGGTCTAGGTCTGGCCTATAGTTGTGGACTAGGTCTGGCCCATAGTTATGGTCTAGGACTGGTCTATAGCTGTGGTCTAGGACTAGCCTTTAGTTGTGGTCTAGGACTGGTCTACAGCTGTGGTCTAGGACTGGCCTATAGCTGTGGTCTAGGACTGGCCTATAGCTGTGGTCTAGGACTGGTCTATAGCTGTGGTCTAGGACTGGTCTATAGCTGTGGTCTAGGACTGGCCTATAGCTGTGGTCTAGGACTGGCCTATAGCTGTGGTCTAGGACTGGCCTATAGCTGTGGGGACTCTGGTCTGGACTCTGGTCTGGACTCTGGCCTGGACTCTGGTCTGGACTCTGGTCTGGACTCTGGCCTGGACTCTGGTCTGGACTCTGGTCTGGACTCTGGCCTGGACTCTGGTCTGGACTCTGGTCTGGACTCTGGCCTGGACTCTGGTCTGGACTCTGGTCTGGACTCTGGCCTGGACTCTGGTCTGGACTCTGGTCTGGACTCTGGCCTGGACTCTGGTCTGGACTCTGGTCTGGACTCTGGCCTGGACTCTGGTCTGGACTCTGGTCTGGACTCTGGCCTGGACTCTGGTCTGGACTCTGGTCTGGACTCTGGCCTGGACTCTGGTCTGGACTCTGGTCTGGACTCTGGCCTGGACTCTGGTCTGGTCTAATGTCTTCAGAGCGACACTAATACGGACCTTAACACTCCTCCTCAGATTCCGTCACCACCGCTCGACTTTTCTCAGTTTGTCGCCGCAGAAATATTTAGACCGAGAATTCGGTGATTTAAATCTTAAATCACCGACTTCACAACGGTTTGACTTCGACTCCTTCACTTTGATGTTTTTGTGAACGAGATGCTTTGTCACAACATTTCCAAAATCTTGTCTCACGTCGAGATATTTTGGATTGATTGCAGCTTATGTTGAAAATAACCTCCTCCAGATAATTATTGGGCTGAGAGTGGATCTTCACATGTCATTAGGGAGGAGGGACTATTTATGATGTGATTATAAAATATTATCAAATGGTTCAAGCTCTGGGGCTGGGAGCTGAGGACAGGGCAGGAAATCCACATTTGCAATTTCACTAAACAGAGCTAGAGCAAATAAGAATGAAACTTACAGAAATCAGAATCATTTTTATTGCCACGTAAGTAACAGGAAGTCAGACTTGGAAATTGTTTTGGCTCAGTGCAACAGTCAGAAAGAGAGGTAAAGGTAGAGAAGGCATGATAAAAATAATGGAATAGAAAATAAAATAAAAATAAAAATAATCAGTAACACTACTGAGGAATAACATTTAAAATAGAAAATTATTAAAATTACTGTATACAATATACAAGTGCACATGGTGCACACAATATAAGGTGACCACAATAAAGTTACGTTATAAAGAACAGTAGGGGACTTGTAGAGGGCGGGGAGGTTAAGTGTTCAAGAGTCCAACAGCAGAGGGAAAGAAACTGTTCTTGTGGCGGGAGGTTCTAGTCCTGATGGACCGCAGCCTCCTGCCTGAGGGGAGTGGTTGGAATAGTCCATGTGCAGGTGAGAGGGGAGTGGTTGGAATAGTCCATGTGCAGGTGAGAGGGGAGTGGTTGGAATAGTCCATGTGCAGGTGAGAGGGGAGTGGTTGGAATAGTCCATGTGCAGGTGAGAGGGGAGTGGTTGGAATAGTCCATGTGCAGGTGAGAGGGGAGTGGTTGGAATAGTCCATGTGCAGGTGAGAGGGGAGTGGTTGGAATAGTCCATGTGCAGGTGAGAGGGGAGTGGTTGGAATAGTCCATGTGCAGGTGAGAGGGGAGTGGTTGGAATAGTCCATGTGCAGGTGAGAGGGGAGTGGATGGAATAGTCCATGTGCAGGTGAGAGGGGAGTGGTTGGAATAGTCCATGTGCAGGTGAGAGGGGAGTGGATGGAATAGTCCATGTGCAGGTGAGAGGGGAGTGGTTGGAATAGTCCATGTGCAGGTGAGAGGGGAGTGGTTGGAATAGTCCATGTGCAGGGTGAGAGGGGAGTGGTTGGAATAGTCCATGTGCAGGTGAGAGGGGAGTGGTTGGAATAGTCCATGTGCAGGTGAGAGGGGTCGGCTGTGATACGACCAGCCCGGCCTCGAGCTCGGGCGACGTACAGGTCCTGCAGCGATGGAAGGCTGCGGCCGATCACTTCCTCTGCAGAGACCACAATGCACTGTAGTCTCTGTTTGTCCCTGACTGTGGCTCCAGCGAACCACACGGTGATGGAGGAGGTGATGGAGGAGGTGATGGAGGAGGTGATGGAGGAGGTGATGAGGAGGTGATGGAGGAGGTGATGGAGGAGGTGATGGAGGAGGAGATGGAGGAGGTGATGGAGGAGGTGATGGAGGAGGTGCTGGAGGAGGTGCTGGAGGAGGAGATGGAGGAGGTGATGGAGGAGGTGACGGAGGAGGTGATGGAGGAGGTGATGGAGGAGGAGATGGAGGAGGTGATGGAGGAGGAGATGGAGGAGGTGACGGAGGAGGTGATGGAGGAGGTGACGGAGGAGGTGATGGAGGAGGTCAACATCTGTGCAGGCAGCTTGGCTTTCCTGAGCTGCCGCAGGAAGTACATCCTCTGCTGGGCCTTCTTGATGAGGGAGCTGATGGTCGGCTCCCACTTGAGGTCCTGGGTGATGGTGGTGCCCAGGAAACGGAAGGACTCCACAGAGGTGATGGGGGAGTCCATCACGGAGGGTGGGGGCGGGGGGACAGTGCTCTTCCTGAAGTCCACAATCATCTCCACTGTCTTCTGGGCGTTCAGCTCCAGGTTGTTACCACTGCACCAGGACACCAGCCGGTCCACCTCCCTCCTGTAGGAGACACCAGGACACCAGCCGGTCCACCTCCCTCCTGTAGGAGACACCAGGACACCAGCCGGTCCACCTCCCTCCTGTAGGAGACATCAGGACACCAGCCGGTCCACCTCCCTCCTGTAGGAGACACCAGGACACCAGCCGGTTCACCTCCCTCCTGTAGGAGACACCAGGACACCAGCCGGTCCACCTCCCTCCTGTAGGAGACACCAGGACACCAGCCGGTTCACCTCCCTCCTGTAGGAGACACCAGGACACCAGCCGGTCCACCTCCCTCCTGTAGGAGACACCAGGACACCAGCCGGTCCACCTCCCTCCTGTAGGAGACACCAGGACACCAGCCGGTCCACCTCCTCCTGTAGGAGACACCAGGACACCAGCCGGTCTACCTCCCTCCTGTAGGAGACACCAGGACACCAGCCGGTCCACCTCCCTCCTCTAGGAGACACCAGGACACCAGCCGGTCCACCTCCCTCCTGTAGGAGACACCAGGACACCAGCCGGTCCACCTCCCTCCTGTAGGAGACACCAGGACACCAGCCGGTCCACCTCCCTCCTGTAGGAGACACCAGGACACCAGCCGGTCCACCTCCCTCCTGTAGGAGACACCAGGACACCAGCCGGTCCACCTCCCTCCTGTAGGAGACACCAGGACACCAGCCGGTCCACCTCCCTCCTGTAGGAGACACCAGCCGGTCCACCTCCCTCCTGTAGGAGACACCAGGACACCAGCCGGTCCACCTCCCTCCTGTAGGCGCACTCATCGTTGTTGGAGATGAGTCCAATGAGGGTGGTCTCGTCCGCGAACTTGATCAGTTTCACAGAGTCGTGGCTGGAGGTGCAGTGGTTGGTGTACAGGGAGAAGAGCAGGGGAGTAAGAACACAGCCCTGTGGGGCTCCTGTATTTATAATCCGAGAGTCCGAGACATTCTTCCCCAGACGCACTCAAGTTTAATGTTTGAATGTGTTAAAACTGTCCTTGATCCATGCAGCGAAGAACATGGAGGTTGTGGCAACATTTGTGTTTACTCACTTCAGGATGAGTGGTTGGGGAAGATATTCATGGTCGCACGTCATCACCTCGTTTAAAAAGGTTTGAACTTCCTGCACACACACACACAAAAATGTACACAAACACATACACGGACACATACAGTTCTATATTTTTACTTTTCGAACACATCTCTTCCTCTTCCACCGTCTCTGATTGGTCAGTTTCTGTAGTGTAGGTCATTTTTTATCTTAAACATCAATATTAAACTGTAAAGATCGACTAAATCATAGAATTTTAATGTTTGGTGATTAGTAAACAGTATTTGTGGCTCGTTGTTGTTGTCAAAAAAGATTTGACTGACGTGTTCAAAGTTTGATACAGAAAACAGACGAAGATATCCAAGTTTAACATCTGTATTTAATTTCCTTACAATCAGATACAGAAATTCAACAAGCTCCTACACTATGCCTGTCCCTCGCTGGCCCCTGTGCTGACTGACTGAAAATCTCCTCCCAGCAGTTTCTATCAGAAGGTCCGATGACGTCACAGGTCCCAGACTGGTCCAGTCTGATCCAGCTTTTTCTGGTTTTGGGAGGCGCATACTCCAACCAGCCCATGGACTCCGGACTTTGTCTGGTCTGGTCTTGGTCTGGTCTGACATCAATCTCCTTCTCCAAACAACTCTTATCTGGCTGGGGGAGCTCTGCATTCCTCACATGGTCTGGCCGACTCTGACTAGGCCCCACTTAATATGAAATCACTGAAAATATAAACGACGTGTGCAGCATTTCTTGAGATGATGCATTATTGTACAGGCTGATAATGGGATTGCTCTTCTTGTCTTTTTTTGCAACATGAAAATGTTGTATTAGTTTTATAAGTGTTTTTATAAGTTTCTCCAAACTTCAATATTGTTTTTTTTACATAAATCCATTTGCAGAATCAGTTTTGCACAGACAGAGATTAAACTGAAGGAACTTACTCACTGCAAACCCATTATTGTCTTCATCACATGTAGAATGGAGATCATACATGTAGAATGGGGCTCATACATGTAGAATGGAGATCATACATGTAGAATGGAGATCATACATGTAGAATGGAGCTTATACATATAGAATGGAGATCATACATGTAGAATGGAGATCATACATGTAGAATGGAGCTTATACATATAGAATGGAGATCATACATGTAGAATGGAGCTTATACATGTAGAATGGAGCTCATACATGTAGAATGGAGCTTATACATGTAGAATGGAGATCATACATGTGTAGAATGGAGCTTATACATGTAGAATGGAGCTCATACATGTAGAATGGAGCTTATACATATAGAATGGAGCTTATACATGTAGAATGGAGCTCATACATGTAGAATGGAGCTTATACATGTAGAATGGAGATCATACATGTAGAATAGAGATCATACATGTGTAGAATGGAGATCATACATGTAGAATGGAGCTCATACATGTAGAATGGAGCTTATACATGTAGAATGGAGCTCATACATGTAGAATGGAGCTTATACATGTAGAATGGAGCTCATACATGTAGAATGGAGATCATACATGTAGAATGGAGATCATACATGTAGAATGGAGCTTATACATGTAGAATGGAGCTCATACATGTAGAATGGAGCTTATACATGTAGAATGGAGCTCATACATGTAGAATGGAGCTCATACATGTAGAATGGAGCTCATACATGTAGAATGGAGCTCATACATGTAGAATGGAGCTTATACATGTAGAATGGAGATCATACATGTAGAATGGAGATTATACATGTGTCGGATGGAGCTCATACATGTAGAATGGAGCTTATACATGTAGAATGGAGCTCATACATGTAGAATGGAGCTCATACATGTAGAATGGAGCTTATACATGTAGAATGGAGCTCATACATGTAGAATGGAGCTTATACATGTAGAATGGAGCTCATACATGTAGAATGGAGCTCATACATGTAGAATGGAGCTCATACATGTAGAATGGAGCTCATACATGTAGAATGGAGCTTATACATGTAGAATGGAGCTCATACATGTAGAATGGAGCTTATACATGTAGAATGGAGCTCATACATGTAGAATGGAGCTCATACATGTAGAATGGAGCTCATACATGTAGAATGGAGCTCATACATGTAGAATGGAGCTTATACATGTAGAATGGAGATCATACATGTAGAATGGAGATCATACATGTGTCGGATGGAGCTCATACATGTAGAATGGAGCTTATACATGTAGAATGGAGCTCATACATGTAGAATGGAGCTCATACATGTAGAATGGAGCTTATACATGTAGAATGGAGATCATACATGTGTCGGATGGAGCTCATACATGTAGAATGGAGCTCATACATGTAGAATGGAGATCATATATGTAGAACGGAGCTCATACATGTAGAACAGAGCTCATACATGTAGAATGGAGCACATACATGTAGAATGGAGATCATACATGTAGAACGGAGCTCATACATGTAGGATGGAGCTCATACAATGTAGAACCGAGCTCATACATGTAGGATGGAGCTCATACAATGTAGAATGGAGCTCATACATGTAGAACAGAGCTCATACATGTAGAACGGAGTTCATACATGTAGAACAGAGCTCATACATGTAGAATGGAGCACATACATGTAGAATGGAGATCATACATGTAGAACGGAGCTCATACATGTAGGATGGAGCTCATACAATGTAGAACGGAGCTCATACGTCAGAGTTACGTCTTTGTGGATGTAAATGTTTTCTGTGACAGTAAAACCAGAGAAGTGGGTCACGCAGAGAACGCCCACTGCTCCTGCTCCTGTCGTCCTGGCTCTGGTTTCCATCTCCACGTCTTTGTCAGACGCTTCCTACGACAATTCTGATCCAGCGCCTCAGGCTTAAGTTTAGCTCCGCTGACGTAGTTTTCCCAGAGTTTTGTCTGCAGGCGACAGATTCACAGGAGCTGCTGATGCTGCTCTTGTAAAACTTCCAGAGAATGGAGAGAGTTTGTGTAAAAAGAGTGACAGTGACGTTACAGAGGCTTTCGGAGTTTGTAAATAAAGATTACTTACTTGTTATATCATTTCTGGAGTAACTGAACTTATGTTTTCTATACTGAGGTTATTCAAAGAGTGTTTACTAAATATCTATTGTGAATAACGCATTTAGGTGTGAGACTTGTAAATATACTGTATCATGGGCAAGCCTAATTTTATATTTTGACTTTTTATGTTGCTTTTTATGTTTAGGGGCAACAGTAGCTCAGTTGGTAGAGCACTGGCCTTTGGGCCTGAAGGTTGTGGGTTCGAGCCCACCTCAAGACCTACTTCACGACTCCCACTGATGACTGCTGTCGTTGTGTCCTTGGGCAAGACACTTAACCCCACTTTGCCCAAAGCCCCCACTGAAAGATCTCAGCTCCTGTGGACTCAGCACCTGCAGGAGGATCAGTGAGGGGCTGGTGCTCTGTGACTGGGTGCAGCTCTGACTGCCACCCCCCCCGACCCAGAAATGGATTAAGGGGAAGAAAATGGATGGATGGATGGACTTTTTATGTTGGAATGAAATTAAAGTATACATCTTCCAAATCATATACAACCAGGAAGTACAATTATAAATCTAAAAATATGGCCAAACTGGGATAAAATTTGTAAAAAATCAGCAAATTCTCAAATGAAATGATTTCAACCGTCACCTCTAAGTCTTTAACATTGCTTTAATCCCGACTGTCTAAAGGCTGATACCATTTTGTATATCTTTGCACCAGTGGCTTCTGTAGCTAAGAGTTTATGGACTTATTACTTTGACTCCATCCAGTTTTAGTGGCTATGAGGACACTTGTTTATTGTCAAAATGCTGGAAGCTAAGATTAGCATGCTAGCATAAAGATTAGCATCCTCAGATTCCTTTGTTTTATTAACCAAGCTTTGAAATCAAATCATTCGTCCATCTGCTTTGTTTTAATCTATCCATAAATGTCTTTAAAAAGCCCTGAATCAACAACTTCATAAAATTACGGATTACAATATATTAGGATTATTTTTATTATAATTCTGTTTACTGTCTGTGTATTGCACAATGGGTAAAAAGGTTGTGATTTTTCTAAAGCGTGTCTCAGATGGTTCTAGAAATCTGCTCTGATCACATTGAGACGAACTCTGCAACAACACTTCAGAGTATTAACTGTGTGTTTTAGCTTTTTGGTTTTGTTTCTGTACAACATGTGTCTTTGTGTCCGGCGCTTTATAAGTTTGTGTTTTATTATGAGTCAATTATAACAGACTGGTTCATTGTGTTTTCTACTTTTATACGGGCTAACTCTGCTGTGTTTCAGTCCCAACAGAAGTCGCAGAAACTGAAACTTGTTTTGATGGATTTCTTGGCAGAGCTTTCCTCTCATCAGCTTCTTTGTTGTTCCTCATTTCTGCGGTCGCTGAGTGTGTTCTGACAGAGACACACCGTGACACCGGCAGCAGAAAACTGAGAGATGTTTTATGATCAGAGGATGAGAGAGAGAGAGAGAGGCTTTATTCTTCCACAGCAACGACATTTCAGAGATTACAAAGAGTTACATCAAAGAAACTGATTCGCATTCACCACGATACAGTATGTATTCATTGTATTAATAATAATAATAATGCATCAGGTTTATATAGTGCTTATTTGGACGCCTCTCATGTCCCGCTCCCTCTGGACATAAGTGTGTTTGGTAAAGTCGCATTTCCTGTTTGATTCTGACAGATATTGATTTGATTGATTAATAATAATAATGCATTGGTTTTATACAGAGCTTTCAAGCTTTCAGAAGCTGATCAAGTTCGCGGACGACACCACCCTCGTTGGACTCATCTCCAACAACGATGAGTCCGCCTACAGGAGGGAGGTGGACCGGCTGGTGTCCTGGTGTCTCCTACAGGAGGGAGGTGGACCGGCTGGTGTCCTGGTGTCTCCTACAGGAGGGAGGTAGACCGGCTGGTGTCCTGGTGTCTCCTACAGGAGGGAGGTGGACCGGCTGGTGTCTCCTACAGGAGGGAGGTGGACCGGCTGGTGTCCTGGTGTCTCCTACAGGAGGGAGGTGGACCGGCTGGTGTCCTGGTGTCTCCTACAGGAGGGAGGTGGACCGGCTGGTGTCCTGGTGTCTCCTACAGGAGGGAGGTGGACCGGCTGGTGTCCTGGTGTCTCCTACAGGAGGGAGGTGGACCGGCTGGTGTCCTGGTGTCTCCTACAGGAGGGAGGTGGACCGGCTGGTGTCCTGGTGCAGTGGTAACAACCTGGAGCTGAACGCCCAGAAGACAGTGGAGATAATTGTGGACTTCAGGAAGAGCACTGTCCCCCGCCCCCACCCTCCGTGATGGACTCCCCCATCACCTCTGTGGAGTCCTTCCGTTTCCTGGGCACCACCATCACCCAGGACCTCAAGTGGGAGCCGACCATCAGCTCCCTCATCAAGAAGGCCCAGCAGAGGATGTACTTCCTGCGGCAGCTCAGGAAAGCCAAGCTGCAGTTCTACACGGCCATCATCGAGTCCATCACCTCCTCCATCACCTCCACCATCACCTCCTCCATCACCTCCTCCATCACCTCCTCCTTCACCTCCTCCATCTCCTCCTCCATCACCTCCTCCATCTCCTCCTCCATCACCTCCTCCATCACCTCCTCCATCACCTCCTCCATCTCCTCCTCCATCACCTCCTCCATCTCCTCCTCCATCACCTCCTCCATCACCTCCTCCATCACCTCCTCCATCTCCTCCTCCATCACCTCCTCCATCACCTCCTCCATCACCTCCTCCATCTCCTCCTCCATCACCTCCTCCATCACCTCCTCCATCTCCTCCTCCATCACCTCCTCCATCACCTCCATCACCTCCTCCATCTCCTCCTCCATCACCTCCTCCATCACCTCCTCCGTCACCGTGTGGTTCACTGGAGCCACAGTCAGGGACAAACAGAGACTACAGTGCATTGTGCGCTCTGCAGAGGAAGTGATCGGCCGCAGCCTTCCATCGCTGCAGGACCTGTACGTCGCCCGAGCTCGAGGCCGGGCTGGTCGTATCACAGCCGACCCCTCTCACCTGCACATGGACTATTCCAACCACTCCCCTCTCACCTGCACATGGACTATTCCAACCACTCCCCTCTCACCTGCACATGGACTATTCCAACCACTCCCCTCTCACCTGCACATGGACTATTCCAACCACTCCCCTCTCACCCTGCACATGGACTATTCCAACCACTCCCCTCTCACCTGCACATGGACTATTCCAACCACTCCCCTCTCACCTGCACATGGACTATTCCAACCACTCCCCTCTCACCTGCACATGGACTATTCCAACCACTCCCCTCTCACCTGCACATGGACTATTCCAACCACTCCCCTCTCACCTGCACATGGACTATTCCAACCACTCCCCTCTCACCTGCACATGGACTATTCCAACCACTCCCCTCTCACCCTGCACATGGACTATTCCAACCACTCCGTCTCTCACCTGCACATGGACTATTCCAACCACTCCCCTCTCACCTGCACATGGACTATTCCAACCACTCCCCTCTCACCTGCACATGGACTATTCCAACCACTCCCCTCTCACCTGCACATGGACTATTCCAACCACCCCCCTCTCACCTGCACATGGACTATTCCAACCACTCCCCTCTCACCTGCACATGGACTATTCCAACCACTCCCCTCTCACCTGCACATGGACTATTCCAACCACTCCCCTCTCACCTGCACATGGACTATTCCAACCACTCCCCTCTCACCTGCACATGGACTATTCCAACCACTCCCCTCAGGCAGGAGGCTGCGGTCCATCAGGACTAGAACCTCCCGCCACAAGAACAGTTTCTTCCCCTCTGCTGTTGGACTCTTGAACACTTCTTAACCTGTCCCCCCGCCCTTTATAAAGTCACTTTACTGCCCATCATACGTCACTTTACTTCACTGTACTGCTGTCACCTTACATTGTGTGCACCATGTGCACTTGTATATTGTAAATAGTAACTGTAACTCTATTTTAAATTTACATTAATTCCTTAGAAGTGTTTTTTATTCTTTATTTTTATTATCTCTTTCTGACTGTTGCACTGAGTCAAAGCAATTTCCAAGTCTGTGACTTCTGTTACTTACGTGGCAATAAAAATGATTCTGATTCTAGACGCTCAAAGTCTCTTCACGTCTGTCCTTAGGCAAGTGTCTTGCCTAAGGACACAGCCGTACAGCCGCCCCACTGTGGCACCTGCTGTTCCCAGACGTCTCCCATCACAGTACTAACCAGGCCCTGTCCTGCTTAGCCTCAGAGCTCTGACGGGATCTGGCTTTAGCAGCTTTTGACCCAGTTTTGTTTCAGAGGAGTTGAATTTGTTGTCAGCAGTTGAAAATAGACACAGTACTTTCTCCCTGTGTCTGTGAACAGGTTTCCTCCAGGTGCACCGGTTTCTCCTCCACTAAAAACACGTATTCGTGAGTCTCTGCTGATCCAGGAGTTGGACATCTCTGAGGAATGTCTTAATGGTGTCGTTAAAATGCCACAAACTGATTCATCATTTTCAGTCACAAACACATCCAGGTTTCTCTTCATCATTTATTTTCTGTTTCATGACTTCACAGCGAGGGACATGTTTCTGAAAAGTGCGGTGAGGTTTTGCTTCCGCTGTAAAGAATTTTCATCTTCATTCTTGTCGTTGCTGCTTCTCGTGGTCGTGAAGTCGCTCGGGAACAGAAATGAACCGTCGTTAATTAAAACATTGTAATAATAATGAGTAACGTTGTTGAAATGTAGCGTCTGCTTTGATCTGCCTCTGATTGAACTTTTCACATGAATGGGATTTTGACATTTTTTATCTAAATACTACAACAGTGAAAGTCTGGTCTTACCACACCACAGTAATGATTACATTTCATACTAAGGTCTGGAGGTGCTCCATTGACTCCGTGAACAGGTGGGAGGGGCTAACTCCTTTTGTAGACGTATGTGACGTATGTAATGAGCCCGAGTGAGTCGTTAGCATGTAGCATTTAGCCTAGCATTAGCCATCTCCTTTGCTGCTAACGGAGCCCGTGGGGAGTAGCGCCACAATCTTTGCCAGAGATTACATTTGTTAAACATTCCTCTTGCTCCGGCTTCAGTTTCTTGATAGAACCAGACCAGAATACTTTACTGTCGTATTCTTCGCCAAACTATAATCTGCCCGTTTGACGCAAACTCTTGACATCTCCCACAACTAACTACAACACCCGCCTCCCGCGCTCTCTGATTGGTCGGTCGAAATTCAAGCAATTCAAGAGACTCCTCTGTCTCCTCCCGTCCTCCTCTGTCTCCTCTTCTGTCTCCTCCTCCTCTGTCTCCTCCTCCTCTGTGTCCTCCTCCTCTGTGTCCTCCTCTGTCTCTTCCTCTGTCTCCTCCTCTGTCTCCTCCTCTGTCTCCTCCTCTGTCTCCTCCTCCTCGGTCTCCTCTTCTGTCTCCTCCTCTGTCTCCTCCTCCTCGGTCTCCTCCTCTGTCTCCTCCTCTGTCTCCTTCTCTCTCTCTTCCTCTGTCTCCTCCTCCTCGGTCTCCTCGTCCTCTGTCTCCTCCTCCTCTGTCTCCTCCTCTGTCTCCTCCTCCTCTGTCTCCTCCTCTGTCTCCTCCTCCTCTGTGTCCTCCTCTGTCTCCTCCTCCTCTGTCTCCTCCTCTGTCTCCTCCTCTGTCTCCTCCTCTGTCTCCTCCTCCTCTGTCTCTTCCTCTGTCTCCTCCTCTGTCTCCTCCTCCTCTGTCTCTTCCTCTGTCTCCTCCTCTGTCTCCTCCTCTGTCTCCTCCTCCTCTGTGTCCTCCTCTGTCTCCTCCTCCTCTGTCTCCTCCTCCTCTGTGTCCTCCCCTGTCTCCTCCTCCTCTGTCTCCTCCTCCTCTGTCTCCTCCTCTGTCTCCTCCTCTGTCTCCTCCTCTGTCTCCTCCTCCGCAGCGGCACGGTGGCTGAGTGGATAGCACTCTCGCCTCTCAGCAAGAAGGTCCTGGGTTCGAATCCCGGTCGGACCAGGGCCTTTCTGAGTGGAGTTTGCATGTTCTCCCCGTGTCTGCGTAGGTTTCCTCCGGGTACTCCGGTTTCCCCTACCACTAAAAATATGTCCAATAGTTCTGACATGCGCCTCCTGTACTGGCCCCGCCCATCTCTGTGTGGAGTGAGAGACAAATGCCCAAAAAAAATTAACAATTGTAAACCGCTTTGAGACTCAGATTTGCAGTGAAAAGGCGGTATATAAATAAAGATTACTTACTACTCCTTTGTCTCCTCCTCCTCTGTCTCCTCCTCCTCTGTGTCCTCCTCTGTGTTCTCCTCTGTCTCCTCCTCTGTCTCCTCCTCCTCTGTCTCCTCCTCCTCTGTCTCCTCCTCTGTCTCCTCCTCTGTCTCCTCCTCTGTCTCCTCCTCCTCTGTCTCCTCCTCTGTGTCCTCCTCTGTCTCCTCCTCCTCTGTGTCCTCCTCTGTCTCCTCCTCCTCTGTCTCCTCCTCCTCTGACGCACTGGTCCATGTGTGTGTTATGTATGATTAGCAGTGAGGACATGGAGGATCATATTCATGAGTTTGTCGGCTGCTGCTTTGAGCATTTCCGGCGCACCTGAGTACAGCAGAAAACATCCACATTAGATCATATCACGGAGAGAACGAAGCTAAATGTGGTTTGGGTCTGTCTTTTTTAGAAGTTCCCTGAGGACCATTTGCAAGATAAAAATACCTCGGAAAGGTGGAGTTTATTTTAGTTTTAGTTTTCTTAGTGAAGTAAATCTCATGGAGTGGATTTTATTTTTGGTCGTTTTTTTTTTTTACTCTGTTTTTAACGCCCTCCATGATCTCGCCCTCTGGACTTGTCCGAAATTTTGACTTTTTCTTCTCGCTGTAGGTTCTCTGTCAGGTTCTCTGTCAGGTTCTCTGTCAGGTTCTCTGTTAGGTTCTCTGTCAGGTTCTCTGTCAGGTTCTCTGTCAGGTTCTCTGTCAGGTTCTCTGTCAGGTTCTCTGTCAGGTTCTCTGTCTGGTTCTCTGTCTGGTTCTCTGTAGGTTCTCTGTCAGGTTCTCTGTCAGGTTCTCTGTCAGGTTCTCTGTCAGGTTCTCTGTCAGGTTCTCTGTCAGGTTCTCTGTCTGGTTCTCTGTCTGGTTCTCTGTAGGTTCTCTGTCAGGTTTTCTGTCAGGTTCTCTGTCAGGTTCTCTGTCAGGTTCTCTGTCTGGTTCTCTGTCTGGTTCTCTGTAGGTTCTCTGTCAGGTTCTCTGTCTGGTTCTCTGTCTGGTTCTCTGTAGGTTCTCTGTCAGGCTCGCTGTCAGGTTCTCTGTCAGGTTCTCTGTCAGGTTCTCTGTCTGGTTCTCTGTAGGTTCTCTGTCAGGTTCTCTGTCAGGTTCTCTGTCAGGTTCTCTGTCTGGTTCTCTGTCTGGTTCTCTGTAGGTTCTCTGTCAGGTTCTCTGTCAGGTTCTCTGTCAGGTTCTCTGTCAGGTTCTCTGTCAGGTTCTCTGTCAGGCTCGCTGTCAGGTCCTCTGTCAGGTTCTCTGTCTGGTTCTCTGTCTGGTTCTCTGTAGGTTCTCTGTCAGGTTCTCTGTCAGGTTCTCTGTCAGGTTCTCTGTCAGGCTCGCTGTCAGGTCCTCTGTCAGGTTCTCTGTCAGTAGTAATTAATTAGTAGTAATTACGGCACGGTGGCTGAGTGGATAGCACTCTCGCCTCTCAGCAAGAAGGTCCTGGGTTCGAATCCTGGTTGGACCAGGGCCTTTCTGAGTGGAGTTTGCATGTTCTCCCCGTGTCTGCGTAGGTTTCCTCCGGGTGCTCCGGTTTCCCCTACCACTAAAAATATGTACAATAGGTCTGACATGTGCCTCCTGTACTGGCACACCCACTCCCAAAAAATAACAATTGTAAACCGCTTTGAGACTCCGATGTGCAGTGAAAAGGCGGTATATAAATAAAGATTACTTAGTTCTCTGTCAGGTTCTCTGTCAGGTTCTCTGTCTGGTTCTCTGTCTGGTTCTCTGTCTGGTTCTCTGTCAGGTTCTCTGTCTGGTTCTCTGTCTGGTTCTCTGTCAGGTTCTCTGTCTGGTTCTCTGTCTGGTTCTCTGTCAGGTTCTCTGTAGGTTCTCTGTCAGGCTCGCTGTCAGGTTCTCTGTCAGGTTCTCTGTCAGGCTCGCTGTCAGGTCCTCTGTCTGGTTCTCTGTCAGGTTCTCTGTCAGCTGAGGTCGAGCTGGTTTAGTTTACATTGATATATGGGACTTTTTTCTGTGTGACCCTATTTAGTCTGCAGTACCACAGCGCCCCCTGTGGCCATGGGTGGGACAGCTTTAAGCTAGTAATACTCTATCCAGTTATTATTATAGATCCATGGAATAATGGTCGAAAAACAAAATGGCTGCCAGTGAATGATGATGACGTATTTTCAACACATTCTGACAACATTCAGGATATTTATATATATTTATTATCAGTATTTATTTCACCTTTAGTGGTAATAATCCAATCTTCTGTTGTGTTTGACCACTTTTCAAACATGAACCAGCGTCAGTTTCATCTCAGATCAATAAAACCTCAGATGAAGAATCCATGACACGTCTGACGTCAGTGTTTAAATCCACAAAGTACTATTTTATTTCACTTCAGTTTAGATTTACAAACAAACACAGAGCTTCATTTTGTCTGCAGGGACAGGATTATTTCTGATGATTTTCACTAAACTCATTTTAGTAGAATATGAATATGAAGAGGATTATGAACAGAGTTTCGGAGCCAAATTAGGAAAAAACCAATCCTTACTTTGTTTCCAAACGATTGTTGCAGGATTATTAAAATGTTAATTCAGGATGAGAAGTTGTAGTTATTGCTTTTACTTTTGTGATTCATCTTTTATTTCTTGTCTTGTGTTTATAAAGAAGGTTTTGTAGCTTTCCCGTGAGCAGTAACTCGGACCAGTCTTCTCCACCTTATTCTTCACCGTAGGCCGTAAACTAACCCAGTGATGTCATCCGTAGTGTTTGCTAATCAGGGAAGGAGCCATTTTGAACACACGCTAGCAGGCGCAAATTTCCGTTAGCTTTGTTCGCTAACAGATCAGTAAGTAAGTAAGTAATCTTTATTTATATACCGCCTTTTCACTGCAGATCTGAGTCTCAAAGTGGTTTACAATTGTTAATTATGGGCATTTATCTCTCACTCCACACAGAGATGGGAGCGGGGCCAGTACAGGAGGCACATGCCAGAACTATTGGACATATTTTTAGTGGTAGGGGAAACCGGAGTACCCGGAGGAAACCTACGCAGACACGGGGAGAACATGCAAACTCCACTCAGAAAGGCCCTGGTCCGACCGGGATTCGAACCCAGGACCTTCTTGCTGAGAGGCGAGAGTGCTATCCACTCAGCCACCGTGCCGCCCTATCATCATAGATCAGATTCAGATTCAGATTCATTTATTTGCCATTTGCAGTAAAACCACATTGGAAAAACTGTGCAAGACCACCCCAGTGTGCACCAGACGACACACACCAGAGCTCTTGCCACGGCGCCGTCTTTACGGCATCAGGGACTGATGAAATGTGGAGATGATTGATACAAGAGACTCCACTGCAAATGAAGGCGTCTGATTGGTCAATCCGGTAACACTTTGGACTAGCCCTCTGTAATTAACAGCTAACTATATGCTAATTAATGTCTGCGTATAGGTTTCCTCCGGGTGCTCCGGTTCCCCCTACTTCTAAAAACATGTGCAATGGGTCTGAGTGTAACGAGTGACTGACTGAATGGATGATGTTTGAGCTTTTGGAGAGAATGGAACAACATCTGATCATAGTGACCTTGGTCTGTAGAATGCGCTATATAAATAATCATTACAGACTTACTTTTCGTACTGGCCTAAACAGACACATCTGAGACACTTGACTGAAGAACATAACGATCTAATTTGTGAGTTTTTTGGCCTGTCTTAAGATAATATCACTTTTCTGTTTCTGACTAATCCCTAAATAACCCTCATTAGCATAATTGTTTTTCAAATAAAAAAGGAAAATAACAGTTTGTTTTTCCGTCAAACGAGTTAAACATCATCTGAAAAAGTCACAAATAAAACCATTCAATCCTTTCACAATAGATCTTTCCTCTGAGTAAGAACCGAGTCACCAAATGTCAACACTTCTTCATCGTAAGAAACAAAGAAAAGGACAGTTGTGTTTTGTTCTCACAGCCCGAGACTCTCGTGCGGGATCTGTATTTATTTGTTTGTTTCAAACATGCATATACAGACAAAATGTTTAAGTTCACATGAATTCCGGAGGAATTGTTTGAAAAGGAGTGGGTGAAAGTAAAAAACTTATTTAGTCCCACCCCTTATCCAAAAAAGTGTTTTACTTTAGTTATGTGTTCCACATTCCTTTTGCTTTTACAGAATATACAAGTAATATATATACATACACTTACACACATATATGTATATTCAGACATACACATACATGCACACACATACGTACATATACACAAATACATATGCATACATACATACACATACACTTTTATACATACACATACACTTTTATATACACATATACGCACCTACACACACATTATAGAAACATATAGTTTCAATTCCTTCCTAAGGTTTTTGTTTCTCATAACACTTGAAGAATGTATTTTTTAAGCTATTTTTAAATACCTTTATGTTATCACTATTTTTTAATTCCACAGACAATCTATTCCATAATCTTATTCCACTTACTGATGCACAGAATCTTTTTCTGGTCGTCCTCACATTTATGAATCTAAAATTACTTTTGTGTCTCAGATTATAAGACTCTTCCCTTTTAATAAACAGTTTCTGAATATTTCCAGGTAAACATTTTTTGTTTGCTTTGAATACCAATTGTAAAGTCTGATACTCTACTAAGTCCAGCAATTTTAGGCATTTAGATTTAAGAAACAATGGCGTGGTATGATCACGGTAACCCACTTTATGTATATAGCGTATAACTTTCTTTTGAAGAATTACTAAGGGTTGCAAGTTGGTTGTGTAATTATTTCCCCATACTTCAGCACAATATGACAGATAAGGTAAAACTAAAGAATAGTAAAGCATTAGAAGTGTTTTTTGATCCAAATTTTGTCTTGCTCTATAAAGCACTGCAATACTTTTTGAAACTTTATTCTGTACTTGTTTTATATGTGGTTTCCAATTAATATGACTATCCAATGTTACTCCTAAAAATCTAATTTCATTCACTTGTTTAATTTGAACACCATCCAGTAAAATATCCACTTTAATATTATTCATACCATTACCAAAATACATTATTTTCGTTTTGTCTATATTAAGAGACAATTTGTTTATATGTAACCATAATTTAAATGTATTTAATTCTCTAGTTACATCTTTGATTAATTCTTGCAGGTCTGGGTTAGAGCAAAACAAATTTGTATCATCAGCAAACAAAATCGGTTTCAACATAGAAGACACTTGACATAAATCATTGACATAAAGAATAAATAGTTTTGGACCTAATACAGACCCTTGCGGGACACCACAGGTCATGGGCTCACATTGAGATGAGTACTCTCCCATACATGTAAACTGTTTTCGGTCACTGAGATAGCTTTTCACCCACTGTAGTGCAATACCCCTTATCCCATATCGCTCCAATTTCTGGAGTAGAATCGAATGATCTATAGTGTCAAACGCTTTACTAAGATCCACAAATATTCCAATTGCATGTAATTTTTTATCCATTGCTGTTGTGATTTGTTCAACTGTGTCAATAAGTGCTAAAGAAGTTGAGTGATTTGCACGGAATCCATATTGGGATTCTGAGAGTAGATTGTGTTTATTGATAAAAGTTTCCAATTGAGCATTAAAAAGTTTTTCAAGGATTTTGGAGAATTGAGGTAATAGTGAGACAGGTCTATAATTGTTGAAAGTATGTTTATTGCCGGATTTGTAAAGAGGAATAACTTTGGCTATCTTCATTTTATCAGGGAATGTCCCAGTTCTGAAAGATAGATTGCAAATGTATGTCAATGGTTTTGCAATTGCTTCAATTACCTTTTTGATCACTCTCATATCAATATCCTCAAAATCTTTAGATTTCTTATTAGTGCAGCTGCGTACTGTTTGTATAATGTCTCTTTCTTTGACATATGAAATGAACATAGATTTGAGATTGTGGTCAATACGATGTTCTCTCCAACCATCAGGAACTACAACATCAGGTATTTTGCTTGATAAGTCTGAACCCACTTTAACAAAGTAGTCATTAAATTTATCAGCAACATCATTCATATTATACAATTCCTTATTATCAACAAGGAAATAATTTGGGTTAGATCTCTGCTTATTTTTATTATTGATTAAGTCATTAAGAATTTTCCAAATTTCTTTCACGTTATCTTTATTCTTTTCCAACAGTTTAATATAATATTCTTTTTTGCACTTTCTTAATATGTTGGTAAGTTTATTCCTATATTTTTTATATTTTATTTCGGCGTCTGTTATTTTCTTTTTAATGAATTCTTTATAAAGTGTGTTCTTCTTTTTACAAGCATTTTTTAATCCTGTGGTGATCCATGGACAGTCTTTGTATTTAGAGTTTATTCTAATATTCTTTATAGGACAATGTTTATTGTACAAGTTTTTAAAAATGAAAATAAATTTCTCGTAAGCCCTATTCACATTATCCTCGTTGATAATACTTTCCCAATTTTCTTCAAATAAATGATCTCTTAAGGCATTCAATGATTCATCTGTTATAATTCTAACAAATTTTTTATGTTTTATTTTATCATTAATTTTGTAGTTGTTATCATGTACAATAAATACAGGAAGATGGTCAGTGATATCACAGAGCAAGATGCCACTCTTTACTTTATTGGAAATGTCATTTGTTAGAATATTATCAATAAGTGTTGCGCAATGGGATGTGATTCTTGTTGGTTTTGTAATAGCTGGGTAAAGAAATAAGCTGTGGATAGTATTGATGTAATCACAAATAACATTCTTACTTTTATTGAGCAAATCAATATTGAAATCGCCACATAAAAACATAGTTTTATGAGTATTTGTAAACATTTCTTCCATCCACTCTGCAAATTTCCCAATATCTGAGTTTGGAGTTCGGTAAATACAACTAATAATAACATTTTTTTTGTTGGCATTATGTATTTCTATTGTAATACATTCTAATAGATTGTCAACAGTGAGTGACATTTTGCTCATGATAGTATAATTCATATTTGTATTCAAATAAAGAGCAACACCACCCCCACTTTTGTTTCCTCTGTCGATATGTAAAAAGTCATAACCATCCAAATCAAAATTTATGTCTCTGTCAGGCTTTATCCAAGTCTCACTTATTGCAATAACACTGAATGGTTGAGAAAATTGACACAAGTAGTTTTTAATTTCTGTAAAGTTGGCATATAGACTCCGAGCATTGATATGTATTAATGAAAGTGTCCCATCGTTTGTTGACAGAGTCTCATATTGCTTTTCTGTATAATACAAACATTCACATGTCTCAATATTGTTAAAAAAATTATTGTCTGGATCAGTGTTATTTTCCATATCATAGCTGTTGTATACTGTGCGTTCAAATGGTTGTAATTCCAGGTTAAGGCTTGCATGATTATCTTCGTTTGTTATATTGATTAGGCTCTCAGATGAGGGCATTTTTTGTTCTTGAAGTGTCATAAAGGCTAGAGTTCATTACCTTACAGAACTTGGAGATCACCCGAAGCTATCCAGATCCTCCAGCTTTCGTACCACCAAGATTTTGGCTTCTTCTGGGTGTCCATTTAGCTTTATGTAGACTTTACAATTCGTTGTCCACGTGTTTTGGATTTTTTTCATTTTTCTGAGGAAGCGTGCCTTTTTTGCGATGTCTGCGTTGGTTTTCGTGAGATGCTCGTTGATGAATACATCCGTCCCTTTAAGTTTCCTTCCCTGTCTCAAAAGAGCAATCTTATGCTTTCTGTTTGTAAACCGCATTATTACAGTTCTCTTCTCGCCGCTATTTTTATTTGGAAATGTGTGACAGGCCTCTACCCCATCCAACTCCAGATCGATCCCTTTGGACTGTAAAAAACCAGCCACTTGATCCTCGATGGAGCGCACCTCCATGTCATGACTCGGGTCCCCCTCGTTAGTTGCCGTCACTGCACGGGCGTACGACCTGGGTTTTATCCGGAGCCCCGTGATGATCACATCGTTCATCCGGCTGTATTGCTCCAAGTCAGCACGCGGCTCTCCAGAACGGCAATTTTCCTGTCTTTCTCTGCGTTCGCAGTGCGTAACGCTTTAACTTCCTCAACCAGTGCAAGGATATCATGTTGTTGATTCTTCACGGTTGCCAAGTCGTCAGAAAGCGACTCCAGAATTTTTTTTATGTCAACTTCTTCAGCTGAAACATTTTTTTTCGGAGGCATTTTGTACAGTGTTTGTTGCAAGTTGAGCAGTCGGCTGTCAGTGGCCCAGCGGCGTTTGCACACCCGCGACCGGCTTATGCCTCTTTTTTCTATATCCGATCCTCTGCTGTTTTTATGTGCAGCCCAGATTAGAGTTGAAATATCGGTTGATTCGTTTTTGTATCAAATACAGCGATCAGTATGCGCACATACGATATTTAAGATGAAAATGTCGGAATGTTCTCAGAGTGCCACTATAGACCAGTCCTAGACCACAGCTATAGACCAGTCCTAGACTACAGCTGTAGACCAGTCCTAGACCTCAACTATAGACCAGACCTAGACCACAACTATAGACCAGTCCTAGACTACAGCTGTAGACCAGTCCTAGACCTCAACTATAGACCAGTCCTAGACCACAACTATAGACCAGTCCTAGACCACAGCTATAGACCAGTCCTAGACTACAGCTGTAGACCAGTCCTGGACCACAACTATAGACCTGTCCTCGACCACAACTATAGACCAGTCCTAGACCACAACTATAGGCCAGTCCTAGACCACAGCTATAGGCCAGACCTAGACCACAGCTGTAGACCAGTTCTAGAACACAGCTATAGGCCAGACCTAGACCACAACTATAGACCAGACCTAGACCACAACTATAGGCCAGTCCTAGACCACAGCTATAGGCCAGACCTAGACCACAGCTGTAGACCAGTTCTAGAACACAGCTATAGGCCAGACCTAGACCACAACTATAGACCAGACCTAGACCACAACTATAGGCCAGACCTAGACCAGAACTCAGACCAGTCCTAGGAGCAACAAACAAATACCAGAATCTCAATCGTCGTTTGGTCTCATGGACCCGGAACATTCTGTATGTGAACCATGTGAGAACGTAAATTTGCCTTTTAAATCATGTTTCTTCTTCACCCACAACACCACCCGAGATGAGGAGCCATGGGTGAGGACGTAGCACTTAATTTGAGGTTTTCCAGTTGTACAGTTTATCTACTGTTCTGCTGCAGGAGAATGACTCAGAGGCAGATGTGTAAAGAAGTCACATTATTAATAATTCAAAAGTGCATCACACAAACACAGAAGAATCCTCTGGGTCCAGACGGAGCCGAGAGCACAGATTTTCAGACTTATTATCAGACTTAATATTAATAATTGAAGGAACATCTCTTGCACTGGATCAAAACTATTCCATAGTTAAAAACAAACATCGTCATTGGATTTAAACAGTTGTCACGTGTGGGATAAAAACTGTCTTTTACACGTTCTTTTAGAAGAGATGTGAAAAACACAGCGCTGTGTGTAAACAAAGTGAACTACACTGTTATTAAAGGAAACACTGCAGAGCTCCGTCGTCACAAACCTGTGTCTTAGATCCTTTTAGAAAAGAACAGATTCTTAAATACATCTTTGCGACATTTTAAAAAACCCACAGCAGCCTCTGATTGGATCGTTCTGTGACTCAGAGACAAAGATGAACTCCTCAGATTAACGTAAACACAACAGAAGTCATTTTTAAGATTTTAAATGACCCTGAAAAATCAAATTTGTTTCTAAAAATTTAACTTGTAAAATAAAGATTGTTTGATTTTACATTTAATTGGTTTAATATGAAAATAATGTCTGTGTTTCTACTCTGTATACATTTTTTTATCAATTGTGGATCTTAAAATATGAAACACACTTCAGCTCATTCAAATTATTATTATCAAAAGTTATTATAGAACATGTGACTCGTGAATAAAACAGTCTCTTTAAGTAACTACTCACGGACAGAGGATGGAGTTGGATCAATACAAAACATCATATATTTTAACAAGCACATATATGAATATATACATATTAACAAATACATACTGTACACCACATCCATACTGTATACATACTTATTATATGACTTAGACCGTACGTGCGCTCTGATTGGTTGATTTGCGGTCTGATATTTTCCCATCTCGGACCGTTACCATGACAATCGGTCCACAGCGCGTATCACACAAAACCAAGTGGGACATGAACATACATGTACTTCACAAATATCTCAAAACACGGCTCGGTCTGTACATTAAGGCAGCGGTCTGATATTTCTCCATACAGACCTCGCGCTCGGTTAATAAGCCGTTAATATAAATACACATACATCATATACATAAACATACACCACATACACATACAGTACATCACATACACATACAGTACATCACATACACATACAGTACAAACATTTACATACATATACATAGCCTTTTCCAAACATCAATCTATTTAGATGTTAAAAGCTGGGTCTGTTCCCACACGAGCGCGAACACATCGGCCTCCGAGAAACAGAAATAACTTCTCTGTGAATCACTTTGTAAACAGGGCCGTGGCAGATGCTGAGATTGACAGGCTCTGATGACAAACACTGAGAGGAGGAGGTTTAAACGATCAATCAAATCTATTCATAAACTTTCAGGAAAACAACTCATTCTGTAAAATAATGCGTGTAAAAATGTCTTAGTCATTGGTTTTCTGTCACAAGAGAGGAGTGAGGAGCTCTGACTGCTCCCACGGCCCGAGAACCCACTTCATGTGATTAATATGTCGTCTCTGATCAAGTAAATACATTCACATGAAATCATTGTGAAATAAAAATGGAGAATGAATGTCTCAGAATTTGATGCAGAAATAACCAACATTTAATTCTCTTTACAATTAAATATGAATGCAAAACTCTAACTTAACTCATTTCCCGAACTAGTCCCATGAGCTGAGCCAAACTCTCCCTCCAGGCCTGAAACTGTACAGACAGGACATCCAGGCGCTCTGACAAGTCCTCTGAGAAGTCCTCTGACAAGTCCTCTGACAAGTCCTCTGACAAGTCCTCTGACAAGTCCTCTGACAAGTCCTCTGACAAGTCCTCTGACAAGTCCTCTGACAAGTCCTCTGACAAGTCCTCTGACAAGTCCTCTGACAAGTCCTCTGACAAGTCCTCTGACAAGTCCTCTGAGAAGTCCTCTGAGAAGTCCTCTGACAAGTCCTCTGACAAGTCCTCTGACAAGTCCTCTGACAAGTCCTCTGACAAGTCCTCTGACAAGTCCTCTGAGAAGTCCTCTGAAGTCTCTCACTCTGACAAGTCCTCTGACAAGTCCTCTGAGAAGTCCTCTGAAGTCCTCTGACAAGTCCTCTGAAGTCCTCTGAAGTCCTCTGACAAGTCCTCTGACAAGTCCTCTGAAAGTCCTCTGAGAAGTCCTCTGACAAGTCCTCTGACAAGTCCTCTGAGAAGTCCTCTGACAAGTCCTCTGACAAGTCCTCTGACAAGTCCTCTGAGAAGTCCTCTGACAAGTCCTCTGACAAGTCCTCTGACAAGTCCTCTGACAAGTCCTCTGACAAGTCCTCTGACAAGTCCTCTGACAAGTCCTCTGACAAGTCCTCTGACAAGTCCTCTGACAAGTCCTCTGAGAAGTCCTCTGACAAGTCCTCTGACAAGTCCTCTGACAAGTCCTCTGAGAAGTCCTCTGACAAGTCCTCTGAAAGTCCTCAAGTCCTCTGACAAGTCCTCTGAAAGTCCTCTGAGAAGTCCTCTGAGAAGTCCTCTGAGAAGTCCTCTGAAAGTCCTCTGACAAGTCCTCTGACAAGTCCTCTGAGAAGTCCTCTGAGAAGTCCTCTGACAAGTCCTCTGACAAGTCCTCTGAGAAGTCCTCTGACAAGTCCTCTGACAAGTCCTCTGACAAGTCCTCTGAGAAGTCCTCTGACAAGTCCTCTGACAAGTCCTCTGAGAAGTCCTCTGACAAGTCCTCTGACAAGTCCTCTGACAAGTCCTCTGACAAGTCCTCTGACAAGTCCTCTGAGAAGTCCTCTGACAAGTCCTCTGACAAGTCCTCTGACAAGTCCTCTGAGAAGTCCTCTGAGAAGTCCTCTGAGAAGTCCTCTGACAAGTCCTCTGACAAGTCCTCTGACAAGTCCTCTGACAAGTCCTCTGACAAGTCCTCTGACAAGTCCTCTGAGAAGTCCTCTGAGAAGTCCTCTGACAAGTCCTCTGACAAGTCCTCTGACAAGTCCTCTGACAAGTCCTCTGACAAGTCCTCTGACAAGTCCTCTGAGAAGTCCTCTGAGAAGTCCTCTGACAAGTCCTCTGACAAGTCCTCTGACAAGTCCTCTGACAAGTCCTCTGAGAAGTCCTCTGAGAAGTCCTCTGACAAGTCCTCTGACAAGTCCTCTGAGAAGTCCTCTGACAAGTCCTCTGACAAGTCCTCTGAGAAGTCCTCTGACAAGTCCTCTGACAAGTCCTCTGAGAAGTCCTCTGAGAAGTCCTCTGACAAGTCCTCTGAAAGTCCTCTGAGAAGTCCTCTGACAAGTCCTCTGACAAGTCCTCTGACAAGTCCTCTGACAAGTCCTCTGACAAGTCCTCTGACAAGTCCTCTGACAAGTCCTCTGACAAGTCCTCTGACAAGTCCTCTGACAAGTCCTCTGACAAGTCCTCTGACAAGTCCTCTGACAAGTCCTCTGACAAGTCCTCTGAAAGTCCTCTGACAAGTCCTCTGAGAAGTCCTCTGAGAAGTCCTCTGAGAAGTCCTCTGACAAGTCCTCTGACAAGTCCTCTGACAAGTCCTCTGACAAGTCCTCTGACAAGTCCTCTGAAAGTCCTCTGACAAGTCCTCTGACAAGTCCTCTGACAAGTCCTCTGAGAAGTCCTCTGACAAGTCCTCTGACAAGTCCTCTGACAAGTCCTCTGAGAAGTCCTCTGACAAGTCCTCTGACAAGTCCTCTGACAAGTCCTCTGACAAGTCCTCTGACAAGTCCTCTGACAAGTCCTCTGACAAGTCCTCTGACAAGTCCTCTGACAAGTCCTCTGACAAGTCCTCTGACAAGTCCTCTGAGAAGTCCTCTGAGAAGTCCTCTGACAAGTCCTCTGACAAGTCCTCTGAAGTCCTGAAGTCCTCTGACAAGTCCTCTGACAAGTCCTCTGAGAAGTCCTCTGACAAGTCCTCTGAGAAGTCCTCTGAGAAGTCCTCTGACAAGTCCTCTGAGAAGTCCTCTGAGAAGTCCTCTGACAAGTCCTCTGACAAGTCCTCTGACAAGTCCTCTGACAAGTCCTCTGAGAAGTCCTCTGACAAGTCCTCTGAGAAGTCCTCTGAGAAGTCCTCTGAGAAGTCCTCTGACAAGTCCTCTGACAAGTCCTCTGACAAGTCCTCTGACAAGTCCTCTGAGAAGTCCTCTGACAAGTCCTCTGACAAGTCCTCTGACAAGTCCTCTGAGAAGTCCTCTCTGTGTCTCTGCTCAGACTGCTTTTGAAAATGTCCTACCAACAGTTTTATGAAAATGTCTATAAGAATATGAAGTGCCTCTGCATCCTTCCCAGTCCCTTGAGTCTGGTCTGGTCTGGGTTTGGGTCTCATTCCTTACTATTCTATATCACAGAACCAACCTTGTTCTTTAATCTTCCCTAAATTCACTAAACACTTTATAAAATCACTTGATGATTAATCATTAGTATAAACATTTCATGGGGACATTTCATGATTAAAAATAGAACTTCATATTTTCATAGATGTTGATACGTGGATGACAGTAAATGTGTCCAAGATGGCCGCCCAAGCTTCGGCGTGAAAAGAGTTCAGAGCATTTAAGCCATTATCACAGATTCATGATTTATTTTGTCTTTTCCACTTTTTGACCAAGCAGCGTGAAGGTGTGACAGACCGTTTGGACTGAATCTAACACGAGACAAAAACGGAGGAGAGAAAACCTCAAGAGAAACCACAGCTGCATCAACACACTGCAAAAAGTCATGAAAAATAAGAATTACTCAAATTTAAGCACGTCCCGACTGCCTTAACACAAGATTTGCAGATGGGACAAAGCTAAATGATCAAATCTATTCAATGTTGATTCTTGTATCGCCCTAAATCACAACAGTAGTTTTTTCAGAGACTTTACAAAACCATTGAAATCACCATCAACAGATCAGAAAATCAAACCGTTCAAACACAGAGATTATAGAACACATGGTTTTGGTCCAAAGAGAGACCAATGTCCATTTTTTTAAGATCAAAAGAAGAAATGTCTCGCTTGGAATTGGCACTCTTGCTTCTCAGTAAGAAGGTTCGAATCCCGGTCAGAACGGAGCCTTTCTGAGTGGAGTTTGCATGTTCTCCCCGTGTCTGCGTAGGTTTACTCCGGTTTTCCCTACCAGTAAAAAACATGCACAAAAGCTGCTGTACTGGCCTCGCTCCCATCTCTCTGTGGAGTGAGACAAATGCCTAAAAAAGTTAATATTGTAAAGTGCTTTGTGACTCTGGTCTGTGAAAGGCGCTATTTACAAAAATGAAGATTATTTACTTACTTAATGAGAAAATAAAGCAACGGTTCTTGGAATAAGACTGTATGACTTTGTCCTGTTGGAGAATCTGGTTTTAACGCAGTCAGAATGCATCAGATAATCATGATAAGAACCCCTTGATTTAAGCATTTATAACCTCATATTTTTCATTTTTTGCAGTGCAGGAGGCGTGGCTTATCCAGATATATACTTAAAGGTCTATGGGGTTGGATTTTCTACTCCCGGGTGGTTCATCACGACTGTCAATCATTCTGCTGATACGTGCTCGTCCAATAAGAACAGAGAGTTTTTTTACGTGGAGAGTGCGGATCTTTACAGTAGAAGAAGTGTGCACCAAAAACCAAAATCATCAAAGGAGATAAATCTGTGTGTGGCGTAATGTGGGATATTAAAACATCATTTACACACACACAGGCAGACACACACACACACAGGCAGACACACACACACACACACACACACACACATACATACACACACACGCACACATACACATACACACACACACATACATACACACAGACACATACAGACACACACACACACACACATACATACACACACACACATATACATACACACACACACACATACACACACACACACACACACACAGGCAGACACACACACACACAGGCCGTACACACACACACACACACACACACATACATACACACACACGCACACATACACATACACACACACACACACACACACATACATACACACACACACATACAGACACACACACACACACATACATACACACACACACACACACACACACACACACACATACATACACACACACACATACAGACACACACACACACACATACATACACACACACACATGTAGCTCGCGAAAATTCAATTTAGAAGACGTCAGCCCAAGCTACCCCCTCCGGGCCGACTCACATCCTCAGCCTATGGCGCAGCAAACGCCCCCTTCCAATCACACCGTGCCGGACAGACCAGCCGCTTAAAAGCGGAGCAACTCCCATTTTACGGCCTCCCGAAGCCTCGCAAAGAATCGTTCTGGAGGAATCGCTTTGTCTACTCACGCTTACTCGTGCGTGTCCCTGCTGTCCTCTGTCGTGCTGCGCGTGGTCTGCTCCTCCTGTGGCTGCACCTGCTCCTGCTGTCCTCTGTCTTGCTGCGTGTGGTCTGCTCCTCCTGTGGCTGCACCTGCTCCTGCTGTCCTCTGTCTTGCTGCGTGTGGTCTGCTCCTCCTGTGGCTGCACCTGCTCCTGCTGTCCTCTGTCTTGCTGCGTGTGGTCTGCTCCTCCTGTGGCTGCACCTGCTGCGGGTCTCGTGCTGTGGTCCGTGGGTCTTTGCCGCTCTCCTCTTTGCGGGCTCTTTCCGCGGGTTTGCCGCTGCTCGTCTCGTCGCAGCCTGCTGCTGCATACGGCCGGTCTAGCCCGTTGCGGTGGGAGCCGTGCGCATCCCTGTCTCCTTGTGCCGGTACGGCGTGGTCCCGTCGTGTTGTCCCTTGTCTTCTGGCGCCGTGGGTAAAGTATGAGATCCGCGGACGGTTTTTTCCCCTCGCTTTGTACTGCAGGCTCAGTTGGCCCAGTGCTGGTGGGCAGGCTTCAGTTTAAAGCCCTCGCATTAGTCTGCAGGCTCTCTTTAACCAAGCTCCGTTAAATCTTCACTCTGACTGCAAGCTCCGTTTAATCCCTCACATTGGAATGCAAGACCTCAGTTTTAATCGCTCTCATTGGACCGCATGCTCTCAGTTTTAATCCCTCACTTTGGCCTGCGGGCTCTGTTTAAATCCCTCTCTGGACTGCAAGCGCTGTTTAAATCCCTCATATTGGACCGCATGCTCTGTTTTAATCCCTCACTTTGGCCTGCAGGCTCTGTTTAAATCCCTCTCTTTGGACTGCAAGCGCTGTTTAAATTATATCTGGAACTACTTATACCTGGAACTGTTGTACCGTATCTGGAACTGCCTATATATGGAACTGCCTATATATGGAACCGCTATATTGGAACTGCTCATATGGTACGGTTATACATGGAACTGCATACATGGTACTGCCTATATCTGGAACGCTATATATTAAAAATAAATAAATGAATAAATAAATACATATAAATAATTATAAATAAATATAAAATTATAAATAACTATAAATAATTATAAATAACTATAAATAAATATAAATAAACATAAATAAATATAAATAAATATAAATAAATAAATAAATAAATAAAACTGCAGGCTCTGTTGGATCCCTCTCACTGGACTGTAAACTCTCAGTTTAAACTCCTCACTTGGACTGCGGGCTCAGTTAATCCCTCACTTGGACCGTAAAACTGTTAAATCCCTCACACCGGACTGCAGCTCTCGGCTTAATCCCTCACTTGGACTACAAGCTCTCTGTTATAAATCCCTCTTTAGGACTGCGGGCAACGTTGAATCCCTCTCTCTGGACTACAAGCTCTCAGTTTAATCCCTCACCTTGGACTACAGGTCATTTAACTCCCTCACACCGGACTGCAGGCTCTCAGTTAAACGCCTCACTTGGACTACGGGCCCGGTTTTAATACCTCACTCTGGACTGCAAACTCTATTTAAATTCCTCACATTGGACTGCAAGCTCTGTTTAGGTCCCTCGGCGTCTCGTGTCCCGCAACCTCTTCCCGGCTCTCCGTGAGCCCCAAGTCGGCACGCGGCTCGGGCGCGGGAGGTGTCCGTGTGCTACGTCATTGGCCCCTTCTCTCTCGTCTCGCTCTAACCCGACGGGCATCGCCACCCGCAAGCACTCCAGGAAGAAGCGTCTCATATTCGTCCTCTCCTGTCCCCGCTCCGGGCCCGCCCGAGCATCAACAGCCCCTTCCCTCCAGCGCCCCTCTCTTGCGGAGGCGCCGTGCTGGATCCTGCTAAATTATGTACGGCTCCCCTCCGTCCTGCATCTCCTCGATGACTTTCTCGTGGTAGACCCACCCTCGGACGGCTCCGGGAGCTCTCTCCGCAACCTCAAGCTCGCTTTCTACGCCCTGGGAGTCCCCCTCTCCGAGGAGAAGACCACAGGCCCGCCACAGCTCTAGAGTTTCTCGGCATCCGCCTCGACACGCGCGCCACGGAGGCCTCCCTCCCGCTGGACAAACTCGAGCGCATCCGCGCTATCTCCCGGTCTGCCCCGTCATCCCTGTCACTTTCGAAGCGTCAGTTGCTCTCCCTTCTCGGGCGTCTTGATTACGCCATCCGCATAATTCCTCAAGGTCGCTCCTTCATCTCCAGACTCCTCTCCCTCGCCGGCTCCGTCTCCTCCCTCAACGACGCGGTCTGCCTGGCCGCGGGGTGCCGCTCCGACCTGGCGTTCTGGTCCCGCCTGCTGAGCCGTTGGAATGGCGTCTCCTTTTTTCTACAGCAACGTCGTCCTATCCTCGGACGCCCTGCGGTTCTTCACGGACGCAGCCCCGTCCGTGGGTTTTGGGGGATTCTTTCAGGACCAGTGGTTCGCCGGGCCCTGGCCCGACGCCTTCCCTCAAAACATCTCCTCCGCGCTCCACGAGATATATCCCGTGACCGTAGCCTGCGCGCTGTGGAGCCATATGTGGCAGAGGAAAAGGATTTCCGTGATGTGCGACAACCTCGACGTTGTCGAGGTTCATCCTCTCCCCAAATCATGACTTTTCTTAGACGTATCACATGGCTCTCAGTCCTGAACAATTTTATTATCACTGCTCGTCGCGTCCCTGGTCACCTTAATTGTCTCGCTGATTCTCTCTCTCGTTTCAAATTCCAGGAGTTCCGACGCCTCTGCCCTTCTGCCAACCCATCGCCATGCCAGATCCCCTGCATGGAATCCCTCGCCCTGGACTAATCCCTCCGTCTCTTCGCCTCCTCATCTCCTCCGCGGCATCCTATATGAAGATGGGCCTCTCACCTTCCACTCTGAAATCATACAGTCTCGCTTGATCCATGATGCACTACACTCGCCTCCGCTCACGGAAAGGAGATCTCAACGGACCGTCATTCTCACTCTCGATAACCTCCCGATGTCCTCCAACTGGTTCAGAGCCCAACTCAAGTCTGTACTGCTGCTTTGTAACCTGTCTCCCTATCTCTACACAGCCCACTCCTTCAGAATAGGCGCCGCCACGCGTGCCGCGTCCCTGGGTCTCCCCCATTCTGCCCTTCAGCAGTTGGGCCGCTGGTCATCATCGGCCCTCTCCTCATACATCAGGCCTGACACTCCGACTATCCTCGCAGCCCAGCGCCTCTTGGCATCTCCATAAATCACTCGCAAAACTCCTGGTGGCGGCAGCAGCTGAGTATCCGCTATAACGATCACAGCATATAACGGTCACAACAGATAGCGGTCATAGCTTAGTGATAGCGGTCATAGCGTCAGTGATAGCGGTCATAGCGTCAGTGATAGCGGTCATAGCGTCAGTGATAGCGGTCATAGCGTTAGTGGTAGCGGTCACAGCGTTAGTGTTAGCGGTCACAGCATAGCAAAAAATGGTTAGCGCATAAACGGTTCACAGCATAGAGATAGCGGTCACAGCATAGCGATAGCGGTCACAGCATAGCGATAGCGGTCACAGCATAGCGATAGCGGTCACAGCATAGCGATAGCGGTCACAGCATAGCGATAGCGGTCACAGCATAGCGATAGCGGTCACAGCATAGAGCAGCCACGACGTCTGTCCCCTGCAAACCAGGCTGCAAAACCCCATCAACTCACAGCCTTTTTGGGGATTCTACGCGCCCCAGCGCAGGAGCCTCCCCTAACTGAAGGCCGCACCGGGGCCTAGGGCGCCAAACCACCTCTCATTAAAATACTCAAAAGCTTTCTTGTTTCACGTCTCTCCAAATTGAAATGTAGCTCGCGAAAATTCAATTTAGAAGACGTCAGCCCAAGCTACCCCCTCCGGGCCGACTCACATCCTCAGCCTATGGCGCAGCAAACGCCCCCTTCCAATCACACCGTGCCGGACAGACCAGCCGCTTAAAAGCGGAGCAACTCCCATTTTACGGCCTCCCGAAGCCTCGCATCCACCGCCTCCCCTCCTCCTCCTCTTCACCCTGCCTCCAACCTGCCTTCAAATCTGCTTCACGCTGCCAAGATGCCGCCACCAGTACCTAGGCCCCGGGGGGATTCTACGCGCCCCAGCGCAGGAGCCTCCCCTAACTGAAGGCCGCACCGGGGCCTAGGGCGCCAAACCACCTCTCATTAAAATACTCAAAAGCTTTCTTGTTTCACGTCTCTCCAAATTGAAATACAGACACACACACACACACACACACACATACATACACACACACACATACAGACACACACACACACACACACACAGTGGCCCAGATTTCTTTCTTTATGCTGCTCAAATGTTTTCCTCCCGAACGTTTATGCAAATCCAGCGACATCAGACGACACCAGCGTCAGAGATACCAGTGTCATAGTGTCATAGATACCAGTGTCACAGATACCAGTGTCACAGATACCAGTGTCATAGTGTCATAGATACCAGTGTCATAGTGTCATAGATACCAGTGTCATAGATACCAGTGTCATAGATACCAGTGTCACAGATACCAGTGTCACAGATCCCAGTATCACAGATACCAGTGTCATAGATACCAGTGTCACAGATACCAGTGTCATAGATACCAGTGTCACAGATACCAGTGTCATAGATACCAGTGTCATAGTGTCATAGATACCAGTGTCACAGATACCAGTGTCATAGATACCAGTGTCACAGATACCAGTGTCATAGATACCAGTGTCATAGATACCAGTGTCACAGATCCCAGTATCACAGATACCAGTGTCATAGATACCAGTGTCATAGATACCAGTGTCATAGATACCAGTGTCACAGATACCAGTGTCATAGTGTCATAGATACCAGTGTCACAGATACCAGTGTCACAGATACCAGTGTCATAGATACCAGTGTCACAGATACCAGTGTCATAGATACCAGTGTCATAGATACCAGTGTCATAGATACCAGTGTCACAGATACCAGTGTCACAGATACCAGTGTCATAGATACCAGTGTCATAGATACCAGTGTCACAGATCCCAGTATCACAGATACCAGTGTCATAGATACCAGTGTCATAGATACCAGTGTCATAGATACCAGTGTCACAGATACCAGTGTCATAGATACCAGTGTCACAGATACCAGTGTCACAGATACCAGTGTCATAGTGTCATAGATACCAGTGTCACAGATACCAGTGTCACAGATACCAGTGTCATAGATACCAGTGTCACAGATACCAGTGTCATAGATACCAGTGTCATAGATACCAGTGTCATAGATACCAGTGTCACAGATACCAGTGTCATAGATACCAGTGTCATAGTGTCATAGATACCAGTGTCATAGATACCAGTGTCATAGTGTCATAGATACCAGTGTCATAGATACCAGTGTCATAGTGTCATAGATACCAGTGTCATAGATACCAGTGTCACAGATACCAGTGTCACAGATCCCAGTATCACAGATACCAGTGTCATAGATACCAGTGTCACAGATACCAGTGTCATAGATACCAGTGTCACAGATACCAGTGTCATAGATACCAGTGTCATAGTGTCATAGATACCAGTGTCACAGATACCAGTGTCATAGATACCAGTGTCACAGATACCAGTGTCATAGATACCAGTGTCACAGATACCAGTGTCATAGATACCAGTGTCATAGTGTCATAGATACCAGTGTCACAGATACCAGTGTCATAGATACCAGTGTCACAGATACCAGTGTCATAGATACCAGTGTCATAGATACCAGTGTCACAGATCCCAGTGTCATAGATACCAGTGTCACAGATACCAGTGTCACAGATCCCAGTATCACAGATACCAGTGTCATAGATACCAGTGTCATAGATACCAGTGTCATAGATACCAGTGTCACAGATACCAGTGTCATAGATACCAGTGTCACAGATACCAGTGTCACAGATACCAGTGTCATAGTGTCATAGATACCAGTGTCACAGATACCAGTGTCACAGATACCAGTGTCATAGATACCAGTGTCATAGATACCAGTGTCATAGATACCAGTGTCACAGATACCAGTGTCACAGATACCAGTGTCATAGATACCAGTGTCATAGATACCAGTGTCACAGATCCCAGTGTCATAGATACCAGTGTCATAGATACCAGTGTCACAGATACCAGTGTCATAGATACCAGTGTCATAGTGTCATAGATACCAGTGTCATAGTGTCATAGATACCAGTGTCATAGTGTCATAGATACCAGTGTCATAGATACCAGTGTCATAGTGTCATAGATACCAGTGTCACAGATACCAGTGTCACAGATACCAGTGTCATAGATACCAGTGTCACAGATACCAGTGTCATAGATACCAGTGTCATAGATACCAGTGTCATAGATACCAGTGTCACAGATACCAGTGTCATAGATACCAGTGTCATAGTGTCATAGATACCAGTGTCATAGATACCAGTGTCATAGTGTCATAGATACCAGTGTCATAGATACCAGTGTCATAGTGTCATAGATACCAGTGTCACAGATACCAGTGTCACAGATACCAGTGTCATAGATACCAGTGTCATAGATACCAGTGTCATAGATACCAGTGTCACAGATACCAGTGTCACAGATACCAGTGTCACAGATACCAGTGCATCATTTTGCAGCAATCAAAATCCAATTGGCGGCTAAACTTTGGAATTCATTTGGCCGTGTACGTGAACAGGCCTCATTTGGACTTCCCAGAGACCCACTGCGGTTTTATTTGGGTTTTATAGAGATCCACGTCAGGAGCAGTAGGAGACAAACGGAATTCACTGATTTTATGAGTGTCTCGCTGCCGACCAATCAGACGGACTCAGAGCTGACATAAAACACTAATGAACTGAAGAGAAGAGGTTCATGAGGCGTAAGTGCAGGAAGGAAAGTCCGTTATTCAATCATTATTACTGTAAATGTTTGTAAATGAGTCTCAGTCCTGGGTCTACAGCCTCAGTCCTGGGTCTACAGCCTCAGTCCTGGGTCTACAGCCTCAGTCCTGGGTCTACAGCCTCAGTCCTGGGTCTACAGCCTCAGTCCTGGATCTAAAGCCTCAGTCCTGGATCTAAAGCCTCAGTCCTGGATCTAAAGCCTCAGTCCTGGATCTAAAGCCTCAGTCCTGGGTCTACAGCCTCAGTCCTGGGTCTACAGCCTCAGTCCTGGGTCTACAGCCTCAGTCCTGGGTCTACAACCTCAGTTCTGGTTCTACAGCCTCAGTCCTGGGTCTACAGCCTCAGTCCTGGATCTACAGCCTCAGTCCTGGGTCTACAGCCTCAGTCCTGGATCTACAGCCTCAGTCCTGGATCTACAGCCTCAGTCCTGGATCTACAGCCTCAGTCCTGGATCTACAGCCTCAGTCCTGGTTCTACAGCCTCAGTCCTGGATCTACAGCCTCAGTCCTGGATCTACAGCCTCAGTCCTGGTTCTACAGCCTCAGTCCTGGATCTACAGCCTCAGTCCTGGATCTAAAGCCTCAGTCCTGGATCTAAAGCCTCAGTCCTGGATCTAAAGCCTCAGTCCTGGATCTAAAGCCTCAGTCCTGGGTCTAAAGCCTCAGTCCTGGGTCTACAGCCTCAGTCCTGGGTCTACAGCCTCAGTCCTGGGTCTACAGCCTCAGTCCTGGGTCTACAGCCTCAGTCCTGGGTCTACAGCCTCAGTCCTGGGTCTACAGCCTCAGTCCTGGGTCTACAGCCTCAGTCCTGGGTCTACAGCCTCAGTCCTGGATCTACAGCCTCAGTCCTGGATCTACAGCCTCAGTCCTGGTTCTACAGCCTCAGTCCTGGATCTACAGCCTCAGTCCTGGATCTACAGCCTCAGTCCTGGATCTACAGCCTCAGTCCTGGTTCTACAGCCTCAGTCCTGGATCTAAAGCCTCAGTCCTGGATCTAAAGCCTCAGTCCTGGATCTAAAGCCTCAGTCCTGGATCTAAAGCCTCAGTCCTGGATCTAAAGCCTCAGTCCTGGGTCTAAAGCCTCAGTCCTGGGTCTACAGCCTCAGTCCTGGGTCTACAGCCTCAGTCCTGGGTCTACAGCCTCAGCCCTGGGTCTACAGCCTCAGCCCTGGGTCTACAGCCTCAGTCCTGGGTCTACAGCCTCAGTCCTGGGTCTACAGCCTCAGTCCTGGGTCTACAGCCTCAGTCCTGGGTCTACAGCCTCAGTCCTGGATCTAAAGCCTCAGTCCTGGATCTAAAGCCTCAGTCCTGGATCTAAAGCCTCAGTCCTGGGTCTACAGCCTCAGTCCTGGGTCTACAGCCTCAGTCCTGGGTCTACAGCCTCAGTCCTGGGTCTACAACCTCAGTTTATTTTTTTTTTTTTTTTTTATTTATTTATTTGAATTAGGACAGTGCACATTAATCAACACGTCAGCCAAAAGCATCAATGTAAATGTACCAGAATTAGCGTGAGAGCTAAATTGCATCCGTTGTCCTAAGGCAGGAAAAGAAACATTGACAGTAGGAAAATACAAACATAGTACAGAGAACAGCACAAAGTTACAGTCATAGTTACAAGGACAGACACAGGTAAGATAACATAACACGCCCAAGAATTGATTAAGCATTGAACTTTAATTAAACTACCTGTGAGTGCAAGATTGATTTGTTTTTAACCAGATTTTTAGGACCTTTTTAAAGGTGTGGTAATTGTCACAGTTCCTGATATGAACAGGCAGCGAGTTCCAAAACTGCGAGCCTCTGATAGACTCCACCGTTTGACTGAATTTAGTCCTACGACGTTGCACAATACAGTCTCCTCTGGTCAGCGCTCTGGTATTTACTCGAGTGTTACTTATTTGTGATATAAAATTCCTTAATGGTGGAGGGGCAAGACCTTTTAAAACTCTAAAAACTAAACAGGCATCCAGGAACTTCTGATAGCCGTCAAAATCTAAAATATTATACTTACTTACAATGTGGCAGTAATGATAATGTAAAGGCTTTCTATCCAAAGTTTTCAATGTTTTCTTAAAGAGAGACTTGATAGGGCTCATGTTGGACTCTGATGTTTGGGACCATGTGGTTTGACAGTACGTTATATGGCTAAAGATCATTGCATGCATATAAGCCTTTGCAGACTCTGTGGTCAGACATGGTCTTATATGCTTAAAATTTGACAAATTGAATTTAATGATGTGTGCAATTTTCTTGATATGCTGCTTAAAATCTAGATTTGAATCAAAGAGCACTCCTAAATACTTGAATTGTTTAACTTCATTTAATCTCTCGCCATTAACTATCACAGATGGTTGTTCGTTCCCTACTGGCTGACGAGAAAAGAACATGCAGACAGTTTTTTTTGTATTTAAATGAAGGCAAGAATTTTGGAGCCAATGGGACACTGGGACCATGGCTGCAGATAGGATTGCAGCAGCTTCACATTTTGTTTTAGCGTGCACATATAATACAGCATCATCAGCATATAACTGCATGTTAACAGTTTTACAGATGTTGGGGAGATTATTAATATATAGGCTGAACAGAATCGGTCCCAATATTGAACCTTGTGGGACACCTGCGGAACAATTGAGAAATGTGGACTGAACATTGTCTATTTGTACAGTCTGTTTTCTGTCTGTTAGATATGATCTCATCCAGAGGAGGGCGCTCTCAGAAAAATTAAAACTGGATAATTTGGCTATCAGAACGTCATGATTTAAGGTGTCGAATGCTCGTTTTAGATCAAGGAATACAGCACCCACATACCCACTCTTATCTAACATATATTTAACATTTTCTAAAAAGTAACAAGTGGCGGTTTCTGTAGAGTGATGCTTCCTGAACCCAAACTGCATGGGATGGAGCGGTGTTTCACAACAATTTAGGTGTTCTGTTAGTTGTGCAGCAACCCATTTTTCTATTATTTTGGACATGATTGGTAGGATACTAATGGGACGGTAATTCTCAGGTTTAGTTTTGTCTCCTGCCTTAAACACCGGAAAAACCCTTGCCATTTTCCAATTTGACGGCACCGTTGCCTGTTTTATGGATACATTAATTAAATGTGCAATTGGACTTGCAAGTGCCTCTTTGTGACGTTTCATAAAATCACTGGAAAGACCAAAGATATCTTTGGCTTTTGAGCTTTTTAGAGAAGAGATTATTTTTATAACATCAGGGATTGTTATTTCTTGTATACTAAATAATGTTTTGCTGAAATCAAGCTTTTTACATGAACTGTCAGTACATTTTAGATGCCCTGTCAGTTCCTCTATTGAACCTATAAAAAAATTATTAAAGCACTCTACGATTGATTTTGTATTGACAGTTAATGTCCCATTGACCTGAAGCTGTAGGTTTTTAGGGTGATCATCTTTGGTTTGTCCCAAAAGTTTATTCACATTTTTCCAAATCACTTTACCGTTTCCATTTGCACCTTGTATTATCTCTAAAAAGAAATTGGCTTTGGCTTTACGCACCTGATTAACCACTTTATTTCTGAGTGATGTAAAAATCTGACGATCAGTTGTGTTTCCTGTTTTTAGCGATTTTCTGAGAGCGCCGTCTCTCTGTTTCATTAACTTTTTAATGTCATTAGAAAGCCAAGGAAGGTTCCCTTTGTGTTGTTTGAATTGGCCCTTTTTGGTAAAACCAACTAAGGTTTCAAGGACCTTCTTTAAAAAAATATCGGAGCTCTTCTCAATGTCACTCTTTTCAAAAAGCTCAGACCAATTTATTTGCCCAAGTTCATTATTCACATCATTTTGAGCCCCCTTTGGTATAAAATGATAAATCCTCTCTTTGTTCGATGTGGATGGAGGATGTTTCTTAATTTTTCTTGAACACAGAATAAAATTGTGATCAGAAAGACCAGACAAGAAGTTAAAAGTCTTCAAGATTTTTTCGGGCTTATTGGTAAAAATTAGGTCAATTTTTGTTTTTGACACATTTGTAATTCTTGTTGGTTCTTTTATGATCTGAGTCAAATTGTGTTTGTCAGCTATTTGCTTAAATTTTTTTCTGACTGCTTTGTTATCCCAATTGATATTAAAGTCACCAACAAGAATTATTTCTCTGTTCGATTTGCAATGATTTAAAATAATCTCGAGCTGATCATAAAATATCTCCTTAGCTGAGGGAGGTCGATACAGGCAGATCAGGGTGAAAGACATAGCAGAGGACAGTTTTATATTCAGACCAATACATTCAACAGTGACTTCCTCCGGCCAAATCATTAATTCACTTTTTAAATGCTCTCTCACATAAACGAGTACCCCCCCACCTCTTCCCGTCACTCTGTCTCTTCTATGTACATTATATCCTGGAATATTTACAGCTGCTGTTGGCGATGTTGGGGTTAACCAACTTTCACTAATCCCAAGTACATCAACATTGGAATCACATAACAAATGTTCTATTTGGTCTGTTTTATTCACAATGCTACGGATGTTGATATGACCCAGAAAAATTCCTTTTGGCTTTGATCGCTGATCCCAAATAATTTTAGCGTTGTTGAGAGTTTGAAAAAAATGCCTCTTTTTTTGTTTCTTAATAGCAGGGTTTAAGGACTTTAATTTTACGGCTGATGCATGTCTTTTTTTGGTATTTATTGTTGCCAATGAGAGTTGATATGAAGAACATTCCCCTGCATTGGAATTTCGATTTACTAATGAGTCATTTATTATTGTCTCTTCTTGCAGACTTACAGCTGGTGACAAAGGCCCGGTCAGCCGCGGTGAAGCTCCGGGCAGCTGCGGTGGAGGCCCGGGCAGCTGCGGTGGAGGCCCGGGCAGCTGCGGTGGAGGCCCGGGCAGCTGCTGTGGAGGCCCGGGCAGCTGCGGTGGAGGCCCGGGCAGCTGCGGTGGAGGCCCGGGCAGCTGCGGTGGAGGCCCGGGCAGCTGCGGTGGAGGCCCGGGCAGCTGCGGCAGCAACCAGGTTAGCTGTAGTGGTATCCAGGTTAACTGTTAATGGTATCCAGGTTAGCAATGGTGGTGACCAGGTTAGCTCTGGTGGTATCCGGATTAACTGAAGTGGTATCCAGGTTAGTTGTGGTGTGGTCCAGGTTAGCTCTGGTGGTTTCCAGGCCAACTGTGGAGGTATCCAGGTTAACTCTGGTGGTAGCAATGGTGGAGGCCTGGACTGACCTGCTGATCGTGTCCGTGATGCTGGGGGTCTGCTCCATCCTGGGGCTGCCGTGGTTCGTGGCTGCGACCGTGCTCTCCATCTCCCACGTCAACAGCCTCAAAGTGGAGTCCGAGTGCTCGGCTCCGGGGGAACAGCCCAAGTTCCTGGGGATCCGAGAACAACGCGTCACCGGATTCATGATCTTTATGTTGATGGGCTGCTCCGTGTTCATGACGTCAGTCCTGAAGGTCAGAGTAGTCTGTATACTAGGCCAGATACTAGGCCAGATACTAGTCCAGATACTAGTCCAGATACTAGGCCAGATACTAGGCCAGATACTAGGCCAGATACTAGTCCAGATACTAGGCCAGATACTAGGCCAGATACTAGGCCAGATACTAGTCCAGATATTAGTCCAGATACTAGTCCAGATATTAGTCCAGATACTAGTCCAGATATTAGTCCATATATTAGTCCAGATATTAGTCCAGATACTAGTCCAGATACTAGTCCAGATACTAGTCCAGATACTAGTCCAGATACTAGTCCAGATATTAGTCCAGATATTAGTCCAGATACTAGTCCAGATACTAGTCCAGATACTAGTCCAGATACTAGTCCAGATACTAGTCCAGATATTAGTCCAGATACTAGTCCAGATACTAGGCCAGATACTAGTCCAGATACTAGTCCAGATACTAGTCCAGATACTAGTCCAGATATTAGTCCAGATACTAGTCCAGATACTAGGCCAGATACTAGTCCAGATATTAGTCCAGATACTAGTCCAGATACTAGTCCAGATACTAGTCCAGATACTAGTCCAGATACTAGTCCAGATATTAATCCAGATATTAGTCCAGATACTAGTCCAGATATTAGTCCAGATACTAGTCCAGATATTAATCCAGATATTAATCCAGATATTAGTCCAGATATTAATCCAGATATTAATCCAGATATTAGTCCAGATATTAGTCCAGATATTAGTCCAGATATTAGTCCAGATACTAGTCCAGATATTAGTCCAGATATTAGTCCATATATTAGTCTATATATTAGTCTATATATTAGTCTGTATATTAGTCTATATACTGTATTAGTCCATATATTAGTCTATTAGTCCATATATTAGTCTATATACTGTATTAGTCCATATATTAGTCCATGTATTAGTCCATGTATTAGTCCAGATATTAGTCCAGATATTAGTCCAGATATTATTCCATATATTAGTCCAGATATTAGTCCAGATATTAGTCCATATATTAATCCATATATTAGTCCATATATTAGTCTACATATTAGTCTGTATATTAGTCTTGTATTAGTCCGTATATTAGTGCATGCATCAGTTCATGTATTAGTCCATGTATTAGTCCATATATTGCATTAGTCCATACATTAATCCATATATTAGTCAGTACATTAGTCCATATACTGTATTAGTCCATTAGTCCATATATTAGTCCAGATATTAGTCTATATATTAGTCCATATACTGTATTAGTCCATATATTAGTCTATTAGTGCATATATTAGTCTATATACTGTATTAGTCCATTAGTCCATATATTAGTCTATTAGTCCAGATATCCCCCCTTGGACTGCCACCTTAACGTGGTGGGGGAGTTTGAGCACTCGGATGATCCTGGGAGCTATGCTGTCTGGGGCTTCATGCCCCTGGTAGGGTCTCCCATGGCAGACAGGTCTCAAGTGACGAGTCAGACGAAGCGCAGTCCGAAGCCAACCATGGACAGCACGACAATGAGAACCGTGACGTCGCCCGGCATGGCGCAGCCGGGGCCCCACCCTGGAGCCAGGCCTGGGGTCGGGGCTCGCAAGCGAGCGCCTGGTGGCCGGGCCTTAGCCCACGGGGCCCGGCCGGGCTCAGCCCGAAGGGATGACGTGGGCAGTCCCTCCTGTGGGCCCACCACCTGCAGAGGGGTCCGTGGTGGCGAGGTGCAGAGAGGACTGGGCAGCAGTCGAAGGCGGAGACCTCGACGACCCAGTCCACACACCCAACATCTGGCTCTTGGGACGTGGAACGTCACCTCACTGGGGGGGAAGGAGCCCGAGCTTGTGGGGGAGGTTGAGCGATACCGACTAGAGATAGTCGGCCTCACCTCCACACACAGCTTGGGCTCTGGAACCCAACTCCTTGAGAGGGGTTGGACGCTCCACTTTTCTGGTGTTTCTCGCGGGGAGAGGCGGCGAGCTGGGGTGGCCATACTCATTGCCCCCCATCTCAGCCGCCACGTGTTGGAGTTCTCCCCGGTGAATGAGAGGGTCGCGTCCCTCCACCTCCGGGTGGGGGACAAGTCTCTCACTGTTGTGACGGCCTACGGGCCTAACGGTAGTGCAGAGTACCCGGCCTTCTTGGAGTCCTTGGGAGGGGTACTGGACAGTGCACCGCCCGGGGACTCCGTTATTCTCCTGGGGGACTTCAACGCCCATGTGGGAAATGCCAGTGACACTTGGAGAGGGGTGATCGGGAAGAGCGGCCCCCCTGATCTGAACCCGAGCGGTGTTCAGTTGTTGGACTTCTGTGCCAGTCACGGCCTGTCCATCACGAACACCATGTTCGAGCACAAGGGTGTCCATCAGTGCACGTGGCACCAGGACACCCTAGGCCGGAGGTCGATGATCGACTTTGTAGTCGTATCATCTGACCTTCGACCGCGTGTCTCGGACACTCGGGTGAAGAGAGGGGCGGAGCTGTCAACCGATCATCACCTGGTCGTGAGTTGGATCCGCTGGCAGGGCAGGAGGCCGGTCAGACCTGGCAGGCCCAAGCGTGTAGTGAGGGTTTGCTGGGAACGTCTTGGTGAGCCCCCTGTCAGACGGACTTTCAACTCACACCTCCGGGAGAGCTTCTCCCAGGTCCCGGCAGAGGAGGGGGACATCGAGTCCGAGTGGACCATGTTCTCTTCCTCTATCGCCAATGCGGCGGCTCGTAGCTGTGGTCGCAAGGTCTCTGGCGCTGGTCCCGGCGGCAATCCCCGAACCCGGTGGTGGACACCGGCAGTAAGGGATGCCGTCAGGCTGAAGAAGGAGTCCTATCGAGCAATGATGGTTCGTGGGACTCCTGAGGCAGCTGTCCAGTACCGGCAGGCCAAATGTGCCGCGGCCCGGGCTGTTGCAGAGGCAAAAACCCGGGACTGGGAGGAGTTCGGAGAGTCCATGGAGCATGACTATCGGTCGGCCTCGAAGAGGTTCTGGCAAACCGTCCGGCGCCTCAGGAGGGGGAAGCAGTTCTTTGCCAACACCGTGTATGGTGCGGGTGGAGGGCTGCTGACCTCGACTGGGGATATTGTCGGGCGGTGGAAGGAATACTTCGAGGTTCTCCTCAATCCCCCCGTCACGTCCTCCGTCCAGGAGGCAGAGGCTGAAGATGTTGGGGCGGATACTTCCATCTCCCTGGCAGAGGTCACCAAGGTGGTTGGCAGCCTCCATGGTGGCAAGGCGCCGGGAGTGGATGAGATCCGTCCTGACTATCTAAAGTCTCTGGATGTTGTAGGACTGTCTTGGCTGACACGTCTCTGCAACATCGCGTGGCGATCGGGGGCGGTGCCAATGGAGTGGCAGACCCGGGGTGGTGGTCCCTCTCTACAAGAAGGGGGACCGGAGGGTGTGTTCCAATTATCGTGGGATCACACTCCTCAGCCTCCCCGGTAAGGTCTACTCCAAGGTACTGGAGAGGAGGCTACGTCCGATGGTCGAATCTCGGATTCAGGAGGAGCAGTGTGGTTTTCGTCCCGGTCGCGGAACACTGGACCAGCTCTATACTCTCCATCGGATACTCGAGGGTTCATGGGAGTTCGCCCAACCTGTCCACATGTGCTTTGTGGATTTGGAGAAGGCGTTCGACCGTGTTCCCCGGGGTGTCCTTTGGGGGGTCCTCCGGGAGTACGGGGTCCGGGGTCCTCTGCTGAGGGCCATCCGATCCCTGTATGACCGGAGCCAGAGCTGTGTTCGCATTGCCGGCAGTAAGTCAGACCTGTTCCCGGTGCATGTGAGGCCTCCGCCAAGGCTGCCCTTTGTCACCGGTTCTGTTCACTGTATTTATGGACAGAATCTCTAGGCGCAGCCAGGGGCCGGAGGGGGTCCGGTTCGGGAACCACAGGATTTCATCTCTACTTTTTGCGGATGATGTCGTCCTGCTGGCTCCAACGAACCAGGACCTGCAACATGCACTGGGACGGTTTGCAGCCGAGTGTGAAGCGGCTGGGATGAGAATCAGCACCTCCAAATCCGAGGCCATGGTGCTCGACCGGAAAAAGGTGCCTTGCCCTCTTCAGGTGGGTGGAGAGGTCCTTCCTCAAGTGGAGGAGTTCAAGTATCTCGGGGTCTTGTTCACGAGTGAGGGAAGGATGGAGCGTGAGATTGACAGGCGGATCGGTGCAGCGTGCGCAGTGATGCGGTCTCTGTATCGGACCGTTGTGGTAAAGAGGGAGCAGCGTCTGCAGTCAGAGCTGTATCGGACCGTTGTGGTAAAGAGGGAGCTGAGCCGAAAGGCAAAACTCTCGATTTACCGGTCAATCTTCGTTCCCTCCCTCACCTATGGTCATGAGCTGTGGGTAATGACCGAAAGAACGAGATCGCGGATACAAGCGGTCGAAATGAGCTTCCTCCGCAGAGTGGCTGGGCGCTCCCTTAGAGATAGGGTGAGGAGCTCGGTCACACGGGAGGAGCTCGGAGTAGAGCCGCTGCTTCTCCACGTCGAGAGGAACCAGTTGAGGTGGCTCGGGCATCTGTTCCGGATGCCTCCTGGACGCCTCCCTGGGGAGGTGTTCCGGGCACGTCCCACCGGGAGGAGGCCCCGGGGAAGACCCAGGACACGCTGGAGAGACTATGTCTCTCAGCTGGCCTGGGAACGCCTTGGGGTCCCCCCGGACGAGCTGGAGGAAGTGTGTGTGGATAGGGAAGTCTGGGCGTCTCTGCTTAGACTGCTGCCCCCGCGACCCGGCAACGGATGAAGCGGAAGAAAATGGATGGATGGATGGATAGTCCAGATATTAGTCCATACATTAGTCCATGTATTAGTCCCTGTATTAGTCCCTGTATTAGTCCATGTATTAGTCCCTATATTAGTCATGTATTAATCCGTATATTAGTCCTTGTATTAGTCCAGAGCAGAACAACTCTGAGCCGTGCATTATAACTGTATAATGCAGTATAATATACTGTATAATTCATAAACTACTGCATTAAGAACTGAGCGGACTCTCTGTCACAGTTCATTCCGATGCCGGTGCTGTACGGAGTCTTTCTCTACATGGGCGTCTCTTCCCTCAAAGGAATCCAAGTAAGTCTCTTACAAAAAATAAAGATAAATAAAGATTACTTACTTACTACTTACTACTCTTTGAAGATAACGTCCCCTTTAACTGCGGAGCCTCGGCCCTGTTCCGACATCTGTCCCTCTGGTCCCACTATTGACGCCTCTCCTCCCACAGAACCACGTTTCCCGCTCTCGTCTTAGTTGCATGTTGCTGTTGAACAAGCTCCTGTTTGTAGTTTTTCGACAGGATCAAGTTGTTCGGGATGCCAGCCAAGCATCAGCCGGACCTGATTTATCTACGCTACGTCCCGCTGTGGAAAGTGCACGTCTTCACTCTGGTCCAACTGAGCTGTCTGGTTCTACTGTGGGTCATCAAGGCGTCTGCAGCAGCCGTGGTCTTCCCCATGATGGTGAGACTCAGAGAGAGAGGGAGAGAGAGGGAGGGAGAGAGAGAGGGCGAGAGAGAGAGGGCGAGAGAGAGAGAGAGGGTGAGAAAGAGGGCGAGAGAGAGAGAGGGTGAGAAAGAGGGCGAGAGAGAGGGTGAGAGAGAGGGTGAGAGAGAGGGCGAGAGAGAGGGTGAGAGAGAGAGGGTGAGAGAGAGAGAGAGTGCGAGAGAGGGTGCGAGAGAGAGAGTGCGAGAGAGAGAGAGTGAGAGAGAGAGGGTGAGAGAGAGGGAGAAATAGCGAGAGAGAGAGGGTGAGGGCGAGAGAGAGTGCGAGAGAGAGAGAGGGCGAGAGAGGGGGCGAGAGAGAGAGGGCGAGAGAGAGAGAGGGTGAGAGAGAGAGAGAGAGCGAGTGATTTCTGCTTGGTTCTTTCCTACCCTGGTCTTATCCACCCTACTCTCCTGTCAATCATCATGTCCTGCATGTAACGTCTGGGTCTGGTCCCTGTGTTTGTGATTAGTCAAGAGTTTGCGTTGAACGGGAAGGTCGTAGTTTGGTGAAGAATGTGATAGTAAAGTATTCTGGTCTGGTTCTATCAAGAAACTGAAGCCGGAGCAAGAGGAATGTTTAACAAATGTAATCACTGCAAAGATTGTGGCGCTACTCCCCACGGGCTCAATGGAGCAAATCCAGACCTTAGTATGAAATGTAATTAGTACTATGGTGTGGTAAGACCAGGCTAGTTCGGACCATGAATCCTCTCTGAATCTTTGCTCCGTAGGTTCTGGCGCTGGTGTTTGTGCGGAAACTCCTCGACTTCTTCTTTACAAAGAGAGAGCTGAGCTGGTTGGACGACCTGATACCGGAGAGCAAGAAGAAGAAGGAGGACGACAAGAAGAAGAAAGCCCAAGAAAAACTGGTGTTAGCCGTAAGATCCTTTAAACCACTGTCAAGTCCTTTCACTTTCTCTTTTGTTAGCATTAGTACTTAGCATTAGCTACCGAGCGACCTCGCAGTTACGGTGGATATCCTTCCCACTGTGATCGACTGTGGGTTAAACTCATGGATCTATCATAATAAATAATAAAGCAATAAATAAAGCAATCTTATCTTATCTTATAATAACTGGAGAGGGTGTTACAGCTTGGAGCTGAAGAACCATGTGCTCGGGGGATTCTCATGGTACTGCAGACTGGACCAGACTAAATTCACCCGAGCTACCCATATATTTTCCCCATAGACCTCAATGTAAATTAAAACAGTGCGACCTCAGCTGACAGAGCTAGCTTAATTGTCTCTTTCTGATCGTGGAAATGCTTGAATGGATTGAAAAAAAAAAAACCTTAAACGTGTTTCTTGATACTTGTACAACTATGCTTTTTCATAAAAAGAATAAAAGAACCTTATCTAACTTAAACAAGAGAAAGTCAAAAGTCGTTCTGTGAATTTGTACTTTTTGTTTTAGAATTAACTGAAATGAACTTTTAACGTATTCTGTGTGCAGGGAGATGAAGACAGAGCTCTGAAAATGGCCTTTGAAGCGTCAAACCGACTGGCCCTCCCGGTGAAGACGCTGACGGGAAAGTAAGTCCCGCTCTGCGCCTGAACACAATATAAAAATATAATTGTGTGAATGTTGTGAGCGCTGAGTGCGGCGCTGCAGAGGTCAGACGTCAGCTGCTGTTGTTCTGTTCAGATCCTACAGAATAGGAGTAGTGACGCAGGAGCCGGAGGAGGAGCCTGAGGTAGCAGGGTGCATTGTGGGCTTTCTAACTCACTGCATGGTCAAACCTGTGTTTTGTCCCCAAACTAAAGAGTCCTCACTCGCTCTGAGCACATCGACTGTCATTCCTGTTTAACCATTTTTTATTTTTTTTATTTATATTTTTACATAACAACTTTTTACACTTCCTCATTTGCTTTACCTGAAAAGTCTGTCTTTGCAGCTAGACATAGGCTTTGTACATGTTTTCCAAAAAGTGTAAATCAAATAAATAATAAATAAAAACAAATATATTCTTACTTTTGTGTGTAAAACTGTCAACAACTTATTCATGTTTTATTGTGTATTGAAAAGATTCTATTTAATATCAAAAGTATGAAGGAGGATTTTGAACTAAACTCTCTGCTCTTATTGGACGAGGATCCTCAGAATGATTGACAGTTGAGAGGACCAATAGTCTCGATGATCCAGGAAGTAGATAATCCTCCCACATAACTTTAATGTTCAAAGGCAGTGTTTACAATTCTGTTTCCTCCAAGAATCAGTGACTTCACAAAATGACTTAAAACTAATAATAATCCCTGAATCTGCTCCGAGTCGAACACACACAGATCTGATTCAGGATCAAGTTTGTCCAAATAATTAAATGATTTATATTGTTTTCTTCATCTCTAACTTACATTTAGTAAACATTTGATTTACCTTTTAATCTCAGAGTTATTCAAACAGTTGATGTCACACACTCATACAAAAGTCTCCCATTATAACCACAGCAGTGACATTAGTGTGTGTAGTGTCTTGTGTAGTGTGTGTGTTGTGTAGTGTAGTGTGTATTGTGTGTGCATGTCCACTGTGTCCCTCACTGACGTCCTCGTGTCTTCTCCTGTCTGTCTCTGCATCGTGGCGTCTGTAGTTCAGAGTCTGACCTCAGTAAAAGCCCCAGAGCGTCCTCCATTTCTCTGGGGTTCTCAACTAAGCCACTAAGCCTTAAATAAAAGTGTTAAATGCAGAAGGCGGGAACGTTAGCATTAGCATTAGCCGAGTCCGAGTTTCTTCATCTGTGGGAAGTGCACACACGCCCTCTACTGGTGACTCTTTGCACGCGCCATTTTTATTTTACTCACTAATGTTAACCAACCCACAGCAGATTTACAAAGTGCATTTATAGTAAAGTGGTGGAAAAACATTTAATTTCTATTTTTCTGTGAGATTGTGCTTCTTCTTTGAGTCGATGAGACTTCAAAACCTTTCATTGAACAAAGAGCATGGTTTGAACGTGTTTGTGGTTGTTTGGAGAAAACTATAGTTATTTAAGAGTTTACAAAGTGCTTGTTTTACGTCCAGTACCTCTTCACTGTGAGTACGTTTCCATGGCAACCAGTGTGACTCTCCTCGTCCAATCAGATTAGACCGAGACAAACCCGGGGATCGAGGAGAGACCAGACGGTTCATCTGGATCCTACTGAGAGCGAGCAGCAGCTGCGTCTGAGAGCACAGACTGAAGCCAGATTTATGTTCAAATACTCTTTTAAATCATGAGACAAACACAGTCCTTTGTTTAGTTTAGTTTTTTTAAATGAGGCAGAAGAAGGAAATATTGTGTTTACTGCGGAAATGAAAATACTGATTATATTTTGGGAAAGGATCAACTAAAGCAAAATAAAATTAAAGTATTGTGTGATTATATTTACCAAACTTGTTCTTATCAACTACAGGAGCAAGATTTAGAAAATATATGTAAAAATATATGTATATAGAATAAGTATATTATCTGGAGTACTAAGGCACAGTAACGAGACGCCCTTTAAAGCATCACATGACTCCGTCCGACCAATCAGATGAAGCCTCAGAGTTCTCTGTATGTTTTGTTTTTTATGTATTTATTTATTTATTCAAACGACGATAGAACAAATAGAATAAAGGAAACTCCGTAAAAGAAAAATAAAGGACATAAAACAAACATTTAGGGTTTGATCTCGTCTGAAAAAGGAGCTCGGGAACTAAACCTTTTATAATCCTCTTTATAATATAATCTGTCTTTTCCGTGACAACATAGATTTCCTCTGAATCATTATTTTAGTCTGAATATTAATAATAATTAATAATAAAATATAAGTTACAAACACAAATAATCTGGTTCAAACACAAACACGAAAACTTAGCTTTGGAAACGAGTTCACAGTGTGTCTTTGGGAATGTTTTGGCTTTGTTTTCTCAAGATTAATCTTTTGAAAATCTTCCCAAATATTATAATATAAATATAAAACACACAGAGCTCTCACAATAATAATAATAATAATAATAATGATAATGATGATAATAATAATAATAATAATAATAATACTTGTTTCTCTCTGGTCCGTTCGCAGCCAGGAGAAAGTGGCCTGTGTTAGAATCGACATGAGTCCAGAAGATTCACCCGAAGGAACATCCACGACCGAGACCTTCCTGTGACCGCTGGGCTCAGTATCGCCCCCTACAGGCTGCTGCACCGTGGGACTCTAACAATTGGCAGAGAAGCACAACAAAAGCTCGCTATGGGGGCAACAAAACAACTGCCACGAAGTTCTAAACGTACGGACATGAAGGAGGAGGTTACTGCCCAATTCACCGTCTGTTTTTAGACAAAAGTCGTTTATCCGTTTGAAAGTCCGATGCCAAAGGAACGGCCTCGCTGGAGGAGGATCCAGGACTGTTGTATTCTTTTGTGTTGAAGCTGCTGTACATTTCTTGGAATAAGAAATCTCACATTTATCTTTTTGTGCGTCTTAAAAAAAAGCACCAGCATCGAATCCATTCTGATTTATTTTCTGTTTTGTTTTTATTAGAAAAGCCATTCATTTTCAAAGCAGGTGATTCCGCCACAAACATGTCCTCTGTTTGACACTATACAAAGGTTCAGTGTTATTGTCGCTGCTGCAGACGTCTCACTCTGTAACCCTCGTTCTCTATATTCTGCTGTTCCGTAGATAATAAGTGTCTGTGAATCTAACGTACGCTGTGAGCCGCTGGTTTGATGTGACGTCAGAGTCTGTCCTGTACCACAAGCACTTTGCTGCATCACTTCATCAGACGCACTGCAAAAAAGGATCAAATATGAATCACAAATATCCGGTCATAAAGGATTGAATCACGTTTTTTATCTTAAAAGTCTTAACAAAGTATGGAGAAAAAATCTAGGGTAGAATTTTGCAGTGTGCTTGAAGGCGTCGTGGAATGAGAAATATGAAGGTAGGCTGTAAAAGTATAATTGTTCTAACTGGTTCTGTATTAGCCTGAATGATCCAATCAACGCTAGCTTAGCCCGGTCTGGCACATGTTGGTGATGTCACGTGGCTAGCCTAGTGGTCGACAGAAATCAGTCGTGGCTTTTTTTCGAATTTATGATCTTTTCGATTTTTAAGGTCTTGGGAAAAAAATCTATCAGTTTTTTAAAAAGTCTGAAATTTTAATTCTGAAAAAGAGTCATAGTTTTGCCAAGAGAGACTTTTGTGTGAAGTTATTTTCTACACAATTCTACACAAGTGCAAGAAAAACCAGATGTTACACTAAAAAAATATAAAACATACTATAGGCACAAAATGAAACCTTTTTTATCACTTTTCTTTGGACTTCATAAGATTTAAGTCATTTCTGCGGCTCCTTCATTCTGTAAATGTCCACGGAAAAAAATATATATATATTCTTTTTCGACTTATACTAAAAAAAATATGGTAATTTGAGCACATTCTGTCTGTTTTAAACCTGAGACAAAGATGTTTTCTAAGATGGAGGAGGAATAATAACACAAATAATTCCTTTATACAATTTGTATTTATTTTTTAAACCCCTACACTGAAAAAAGTGGATCCAAAAAAAACAAGAAAAAATATTTATTATTAAAGGAAAAGTACTTGTTTCTTGTTGTAGATCATGATTTTTCCTCTTGTTAAGATTGCTAAGTAAAGAATATTAATAACAGGTAATATTATCTTAAGTAAAAAATATGGTGTGGCTCAGATAAAAACACTGAAACTGAGAACTACACAATCTATATTTTAACTTTTTGCAGTGTAGTTGTTTATTTTATTTTATTCTAGGCCTTTACAAAATGGTTGAGATCCAGTTTGATGTTAAAAGGGCCTAAAATCAGGTGCGATGCCCCAAAAAGTTAGATTTCAGTTCCAAGCCCAAAGGAGCAGTCTGTAACCATGTGGCCGAAGGAGGTACTGCAGCCTCCCGCTCTCCCTGCCTCGGGTTGCCAGATATGCCGACGAATCCAGCTCAAAAGGTGATCTACCAAATGGTTCAGGCTCAGTCAGAATATGCTCAAACTAAGACACTTTTTCCCAATTTTTGACTAATTTTGACTAATTTTGATCCCTTTTTGCAGTGTTAAAGTCACACACGTCTAAGTCCGTGAAGTTGGAATAGTTTGCGATGTCGGAATAGTCGAACAGATTGTATTTGTAGAACGATCAGACAAACGGTTCCAGCTTCAGGGTCTTCGGCGTCTCCCAAAGCCTCTGCAGAGCTCTTCGAACTCAGGAATCGTGAGGATTTCTGGTTTTCATTTCAATTCTTCTCAAAGACGATCTTTCTCAAAGTTATTCTTCAGTTCATTGTTTTGATTTCGTTGTGAATATTTTTATAACAGTAATAATATAGACAAGTAACAGGGTCGGTCATAACGAAGCAATCACCTCCTGTTAGACGATTTTCTACTGTCTAAGTGTAACTCTGTGTGTGTGTGTGTGTGTGTGTGTGTGTGTGTGTGTGTGTGTGTGTGTGTGTGTGTGTGTGTGCGTGTGGTGTAAAGAAACATTTGTTAAACGTCGCAAATCATTTTATGCAAACTATTTCTACACTAAATGTAAAGAAATGACTGTATATGATATGAATTATTATTTTGCCATTAGGTGAAGTCTGGTTTTAGCAATAAGTCGCCCACACAGCGCGACGTGTGGCCACAGGAAGCCCCCCACTGTGCTTTGTGTTGCTTTTAGCTCCAGTGACCGCTTTTCTCCGTGCCTTTGTCTGAGCTCGATGTTACTGATCATTTATCGGCGTAAAATCGGCCAAAAACACCGCGTTATTTGCTTCTTTCATGTCGTGGTGTTGAGAAAACGGTCACGGGTCGTACGATTGTCGCTTCACTGGTTTTTTGTCGCGTCCGAAATGTGTAAAAACGGAAGAAAAACACATTTGAGGTACTGCTAAAGAATCGTTTGAATGTTTGAGAACAGTTTTTGTTTTTTACGCCTTTCTTTGTTTGTGTTTGTCAAAGAAGCGGATTATTAGGTACAGCTGTGGTTTACAGAAGACGTGTGTTTCAAAGTCGTATTTAAAGCTCGGGTACCTCACTTTCAAAACGCTTTCTGCCTTTTTCAAGACGCTCAAAATGCTTCATAAAGAAATAATCAGATTCACAGCGGTTTATGCAGACTCTACACTGGAGAAAAAAAGAATAAATATATGGAAATAAGTAAAATTCTGCTTAAAATAATAAAAATGAAGAACAAGAAAATATGCCCTTAAATTTCTGAAAATAATTCTCGCTCCAAACGACTTGATTCCAACATTTCAACAAACTTATTTTTGTCTAAACAAGAAAAGTTGTCAGTTTTAAGTATTAAAACTCACTGCTCAGACGTATTATGACCTTAAAACTAGTCAAATAATCTTATCACAAACTACATTCAAGCAATATAAAATTATTGCCATTAAAAAAGCATAATTTTGGATATTTTCAGTGAATAAATCTGACCATATGGTGTCGTTGGGCAAGACACTTCTGCCCCTACTGAAGTCACACACTAAATTCTATGTCGGGAGCAGGATTCGAACTGGCAACCTTCAGAAGACACACACATAACTGCACAACTACGGTTGCCAAATAAGATGAGAACAACCCTCATTACCGTCACTGGTTTCATGTATTTTTAAAACTCAGTCACATTTTTAGAATCATTTTTTTCAGAAGTGAAAAAGAGCCTTTGGACTGAGTATTGATCCGATGACGACATGTTTGGGTCTGATTTGTGTCAAAACTCTTTCTGTTCGGACAAATAACATGTTTTATTTAGTTTTTTAAAGGAGACATCTGGTTATAGATATACTTGTTTATCTTCACAGAAAAGTGGGTTTGGGAAAGTAAACACACCGAACATTATCTCTGGTCAGCACAACAGTTTCTCTTCTGTAGAAACACGTGACTCTTCTGGTTTCACACACGGACAATCAAAGCACTGTATGTACCTAATAATAAGCTAGTTTCTGTTTCTGTTGTGTCCTTGCCTCCGATGTGCACTTAAACTGAGGTATTCTGTTGAAGAATGATTTATGACGAGCTAAATGTGGAGATATGTTCACCTCAATAAACATATTTATTTTGTTTAATTGTAAAGCACATGATACTGTTGTGAATGATGACTTTTGGTCATGACTGATGCAAAGCAATAAAAGTGGACGCAGACTGAACCCGTTTCTTTTTTTTTCATCTGTGAATCCTATGGTCATTCTTCAGAAGACGTGGAAAGTGGTGCAGCTGCAGAAACATTTCAGAAAAGTCAAAGGCACTGTTTACGTTTGCCTCAGGACACCAGCTCTTAAATAAGGATCTGTGACTGGAGCAAACGGAGAAGTTGGATCGAACCAAAGAATAATTCAATTTATTCTTGTATAGCCCTAAATCACAACAGTAGGAATGATATTACCACACACACACTCATTACATCTCCCAGAGGATGGAATGGTAAAGTGCCATCTTTAGATTGTTTCGTATTCCCTTTTGTGTCCCATCTCAGACAGGAATGAAATACTGTCAGGTTAAATTAGAGATATTTGACTTCTGTGTAATAATAATGCAATGGTTTTAAACAACTTTCAGGACTCTCAAAGTCTCTTCTCGTCATTTTTCTTTCTCTCCACAGTGGTGATAAACTACTGTAGCCACAGCTGCCCTGGGGCACACTGACAGAAGCGAGGCAACCAGTCTGTGCCATCGGCCCCTCCCACCACCACCAACCACTCACACACACACCAGACTCATTCTAATGTTGTTCCCCACAGTGTCCAAGGTCTTGCCTAAGGGGCGGCTGCAGAGATCTCCCATCACAGCCCTAACCAGGCCCTGACCTGCTTAACTTCAGAGGTCTGACAGGATCTGACTTTCACCTGCAGGTTTGGCCAGTAAAAGTGACTGTAAATGAAAATGAAACTAGGGTTATTTCATGAATTTCTCACATTTAGTTCATTTCAACATCGTCACCAGATTCCAGGGACTTCCTGTTGAAACTGAGCAGAAACATTTTAGTCATTTTATTTTTATTATTATTTTTATTATTACGAATCGTGACAGACTCATGTATTTTCTGATCAAAACCCCTTTTTGGAAACCTCAATGCTGATGATCCAGGACTCATTCATGGACATCGGTCTCTCCCTCGGGACCAGTACCAAATGTTCTGGATTCTTTTGTGTCTTAACTGTTGACGATTTCAATGCTTTTGTTAAATCTCTGAGAAACTGTCGTGATTTAGGGCGATACAAGAATGAATAGAATTGAACATCCAACACTTCTTTGCCCTGGAAGAAAAAAACCTCTGCATTTGACCCATCTTTTCGAGCTGCTCTGGGAACCCGCGCCCGCAAACAGACAAACCAGAAACAAAACACAGCCTCACATGGTTTTAAGTTTAATAAACAACATTATGGTTCACAGCAGAGGAACAGACACAGGCTTTAGTAAAAACATGACTCTTCTCCAGGTTCAGTTCACCCATTTATCTGGACACAACCTTCTTCACTTTCCTTTACGACTAAAGGGAAAAACAGCTCCTCTCAGATTCTACAGGGTTTAAAGGAGCAATATGTAAGAATTAAGTCAACATTAGTTATTGTTATGTCCCGCCCTCCACCATTTCACCAATCAGAAAGTCTGTGATCCGGGCGCCAGAACTCACCGCGTGGAGCTAATCTCACTGGTAAAGTACCATGTGGAGCTAATCTCACTGGTAAAGTACCATGTGGAGCTAATCTCACTGGTAAAGTACCATGTGGCGCAGAACTAAAAAAGGTCTTGTTATGATTCTCAAATTATTAACGACAAAACAAGGAATAAAACCAGGATTTCTATCTTTGTGAAAAAGGTGTTGGTTATAGATTTGTTGTTGACAAAACTCTTGTCTATTCAGCTGTTATGGTCCCAGCTGGATTCGTCTGCATATCTGGCAACCTGAGTCAGGGAGAGTGGGAGAGGCTGCAGTACCACTTTTGGCCACATGTTTACAATCTGCTCCTTTAAAACTCCGGCTGTTGTCGCTTCACTTCCTGCTAACCCTCCAGAACACGTACACTCACAAACAGCATTCGTGGTTAAATAGTTTCAAGACATAATTAGTGTAAAAGTGAATATACGGAACTGTGCGAGAACGAGACGGTAGAAAACGCAGTCAAACTAAATGGTCTTTATCGTAATTAGATAAATCTATTTTCTTAGTATTTCTTGTGTTGTACATATGACATTTTCTTTGTTAATAAAACAAACCTGCCACTGAGACTTGAACACAAAACCGTCATCATATTTTCAATAACGTGTGTGTTTGAAATGTCCGACGATTTTCTGCAAATACTGAAGAACAAGATCAGACAACTGAATAAAAATATGTACTTTTTAAAATAATCCCTAATAAAACCTGGAGCCTGCAGCGACGCCATCGTTCTCTGCACTTAAAGGCCTCACTACCAGTCCTGAGAGCCGCAGTGTCAGCCCTCGGCCTGTGGGGGGCAGTAGCAGCTCAGTTGGCAGCATTGGCGGGGCCCTCGGGGATCAGAGACATGAAGAAGGTGATGATGAAGGACCAGGTGGAGGAGAGGAAGCCGTTCTGGGGCCCGCTGTCGGGGTCTTCGGCCGCGTCCGCCCAGCTGTCGCCGTCGTCGTCGCTGCCGTCGTCCGCCGCCGCGTCCTGGAAGTTAGAGTTAGAGTTAAATGTATGTGGCCTCACAGCAGGGCTGGACTGGCCATCGGGCGTACCGGGCAATGCCCGAAGGGCCGATGCCCATATTTGGGCCGGTCTGTCTGCTTCATACAAAACACATGTTTGTGAAAAGTGTAAATCCGTTGAGAAATGTTTGAGGGGAGCGCGCGTGTCCGCGGGGCACCTGCTGCATGTACTCGAACGGGATTCCACCACCTCAGCGGCCGCAGTGTTCCCGCATCCAGCGGCTCTGAGCTGGACGCAGGAGCCGCTCACCGGGAGCCGCTCACAACACAACACGGTGAGCGCGTAGCCGCAACGTGCCCATGTACCCAAGACCATAAACGCGCACAGGACCATGCGTGTCTTTTCGTAATTTGTGCACCCAATAAATACACCGCTGCAGAAAACAGTCCGCGTCTCCCCTCTCCTCTAAATTAAAGCTCGAATACCTAAATTTTCCATTGCATTAAAAGTTCATGTTTGAGCCCAAAACTAAAATGTTGTGAACAGATTAAACAGATTTAGAGCCAGCAAATGGCTGACAATATGCATTTCCGAATTTTTTACCAATTCTCATCCCTGTAACAAACAATAGTATTGTCTGTGCCCACCTCCCTCACTCTGAGACATGTTTATTACTCTGTTTAATGTAGACTATTGTACTTTAGTGTATTGATGAAACTGGAGACATCTTGATCCTCTATAGCAGTGTCTCCCAAAGTGGGGTCCGCAGCCCCCTGGTGGGCCGCGAGGGTACTGCAGGGGGGCCGCGGGAGGTCATAAAAAAAAAAAAATAATATAATTATTTAATGTTAAATTTATAATGTTTTGTTTGTAATATTAAAATATTTGTGTTCATTATTTGACTTGAATAATCCACTGTAATCATTTTTGTATTACAATGTTTGTAGCAGAGGCTATTTCCCCAAAATAAAATAACCAGAAGAGCCTATTCTTAATGTTGTCTTCTTGGTTATTATTTTGGGGGGCCACGCAGACCCGTCAGATTTTTAAGGGGGCCTCGGTGTTACTGAGTTTGGGAATGGCTGCTCTACAGTATATTCTTCCACATACTGTATAAACCAGGGGTCGGCAACCTTTAGTGCCAGGTGGCGTGTGCATTACAGACTGTGTGTGCGCATGGATCCCAAAGATAAAGAGAGAGAGTCAATAAGACTGGACTAAGAATGAGAATGAATATTTGTTTTCAGTCACTGAGGAAGGACTGCTTCATGTTTGTAATGAAAAGTTTTGTTGCAACACGAGGAACAATGAAGCTTTAAACACCGTTCACTGAAAGATTCATTCATCATAAAGTCAGAGCACCTATTTTCAGACTTCAAAAACCTTCGCAAAGACGGTGAAAGAAAAGGCCTTAATGGCATTAAGGACATTCAGCTCCAGCAAACTTCAGCCTGTGATGGATATGAACAGACAGTGATGCAGGTGAACTGAGCCAAAAAGCAGATTTATTTACTGTATTTGTACAATTGCATGAAGGCAAAAAAATTGAAGTTAAACTTAAAGCAGAGTTGTCACGTGGTGCGTCATTCTCTCCAGGACACGCTGCAGTGAAAACACACATTTGATAATCATGAATGGTTTTTATGTGTTTAGCCTTTACTTTGTCATTTAGATATTAGTCTAATATAGCTAATATAGCTTATGTAGCTAAGGTAGCTAATGTAGCTAATACAGCTTCAGCCCGTTACCTTCATATAAGCCTTATACAACGCTCCTATACAACGGGCTCCTTGAACCTTTTGAGTTGCCTGGGCCGCTAAAAAGGAAAAAATGCCCGGGCCGTTTTTTTGTCCCAGTCCAGCCCTGGCTCACAGCGTCAGGCGTGGATCAGAGGCTGCGTTGTCGAGGACAGGACTCTCCTTAAGGACCATCTCGGACATAAACGACAGACCATAATATACACCGAGCTTTAAGGACACACTCTGTTGTTTATCTTTTTGTCACAACTCTTCATTGGGCCTTTATTTACGCTTGCTAACAGAATGATTAGTTTTGGATTTTGAAAATTATCTAGTTCTATGTAATTAAATGAGACATGTAGAACGCTAAATACATTTTTGTTCTAACACAACAAGGCGCACACCCGACAACCACCACAACCACCACAACTACCACAACTACCACAACAACTACCACAACAACTACCACAACAACAAAAAACAAAATACAGTGAAAATAAATGTTTAATTCGACATGGACGGTTGATTTTCTTTGAATTTAAAGTCAAAGTCGCTTCTCCAAACTCTAGGATTCATTAAATAGATCCGAAATTGCTCCTCTCCTCTCTCTGTGGGTACTGCGCCCTCTGCTGGTGACGGTGGGTACTGCGCCCTCTGCTGGTGACGGTGGGTACTGCGCCCTCTGCTGGTGACGGTGGGTACTGCGCCCTCTGCTGGTGACGGTGGGTACTGCGCCCTCTGCTGGTGACGGTGGGTACTGCGCCCTCTGCTGGTGACGGTGGGTACTGCGCCCTCTGCTGGTGACGGTGGGTACTGCGCCCTCTGCTGGTGACGGTGGGTACTGCGCCCTCTGCTGGTGACGGTGGGTAATGCGCCCTCTGCTGGTGACGGTGGGTACTGCGCCCTCTGCTGGTGACGGTGGGTACTGCGCCCTCTGCTGGTGACGGTGGGTAATGCGCCCTCTGCTGGTGACGGTGGGTAATGCGCCCTCTGCTGGTGACGGTGGGTAATGCGCCCTCTGCTGGTGACGGTGGGTAATGCGCCCTCTGCTGGTGACGGTGGGTAATGCGCCCTCTGCTGGTGACGGTGGGTACTGCGCCCTCTGCTGGTGACGGTGGGTACTGCGCCCTCTGCTGGTGACGGTCGGTACTGCGCCCTCTGCTGGTGACGGTGGGTACTGCGCCCTCTGCTGGTGACGGTGGGTAATGCGCCCTCTGCTGGTGACGGTGGGTAATGCGCCCTCTGCTGGTGACGGTCGGTACTGCGCCCTCTGCTGATGACGGTGGGTACTGCACCCTCTGCTGGTGACGGTGGGTACTGCACCCTCATGAACAGTGAACTCGTGACTGGTTTATTTGCTTGTTAAGTGTCCACTACTTTCCAACTGTGTGTAACGTGTGTGTTTTATCCAATACTATCCACATTAAGTTTCCAAAGTGCTAGAAATAAACTGCCCCATTTGATTTCACGCACTCAAAAACCGTAAATCAAACCAGAGTCATAAAAAGAAACATAACAATAACTTATTGGACACCTGTGACTCCTGTGACTCCTGTGACATGGTGACGTGACTTCCTGTATCCGGTGAGCGTGTTTCTTGACTGCTATCACTCTGCTCTCTGTTTGCACTAACAAACACATTACAAATCCACGTATTGTACACCAAGCTAACTGTGTAAGCACTCCGAGTCAGCTGTACTGTAGCTGAGGTTTAGGTAGCGGTTGTTTGTCTGGTCTCGGAGTCTGTTGTGCGGGCCCGGATCCGTACTAGCTTAGCCTAGCCTAGCTTAGCCTAGCCTAGCCGCTAACTCGCTACTATGGCGGCTGCTGTCTCTCCCTCAATCCTTTACTGCTCGAGTTGCCATATGGCGAGTCTAAACCCTGGATCCTTCTCTGAGGGTAGTGATAGATGTGTGAAGTGTAGTGTAGTCGTAGCTCTGGAATCCAGGGTCAGTGAGTTAGAGCTGCGTCTCCGAGCACTGGAGTCTCGAGCTAGCGCTAGCATTAGCTACAGCCAGGCCGTATCCTCAGGGACAGCGGAGCGCAGCTTTAGGGAAAGGCAGAGGAGAACTAGCGAGCCTAGCCTCCCAGCCCGTCCTCCGCAGCTGGGACAAGACCAGGATAGTGATGGCTTTGTGACTGTTCGGAGAGGGCGACGTGTTGTTGGTAGTTTCCCCATTGGGCCTCCTCCTGTTAGCATTTACAATCGCTGGGACGCTCTGTCCGGCTGCGCCCCCGCGCGGCCGGGCGGGGAAGAAGGCCCCACTGAGAGAGCCGCTGAGAGAGCTGCTGAGAGAGCCGATGGAGTCGCTGATGCGCTGGTAATTGGCTCCTCTATTGTTAGAGGTGTTAAGATCCCAGGAGCCACTGTTCGGTGCTTCCCTGGGGCCAGGCTTGGTGATATTGAAGGGAATCTGAGGCTCATGATGACCCACAAGCAGCGTTTCCGTCGAATTGTTATTCACGCGGGTGGTAATGACGTTCGGCGGAAACAGTCCGAGGTGTTGAAGCTGCAAGTCGCCGCCGTGTGCAAGCTGGCTAGCACAATGGCCGACACTGTCATCTTCTCTGGGCCCCTACCTAGCACTAGCAGTGCAGAAGCATTCAGCAGACACTCGGCTTTCAACCGCTGGCTGTCTGGCTGGTGCCCTCGAAGTGGTGTTGTTCATGTTGACAATTGGAGTGCCTTTTGGGGAAAGCCCGGTCTCATCCGCTCGGATGATATCCACCCAACGTTGGCGGGTACATCCCTTTTGGCTAAGAATTTGGCCCTGGCTCTAAACTGTTCTGCTCGGCTCAAATGACGGTGCAGAACTGAGGCCCGGGTGCAGAGCTGCTCTGCCACAACCTCTGAGCCCCCATCTGTTCAGTTACTAGCCTCAGAAGCTAGTCAGATTGAAACTGTGTGTGCATGTGTGTGTGTGTGCCTGTGTGTGCTCAGTTACTAGCCTCAGAACCTAGTCAGATTGAAACTGTGTGTGTTCCCCGCTTGAAGTCTAAAGCACTATATGCGAGGAAATCTGACCTAGGTGTCAGACACAGTAACTTAATAAAAGTTCAGACAGACAGAAATAGTTCTAACAGTAGGGTTGTTAAATGTGGTTTAATGAACGTCAGATCAATCTCGTCTAAATCGCTTCTCATAAACAAACTTATTATAGACAAGGGCTTGGATCTGTTAGCGCTCTCGGAGACTTGGCTCCAACAGGACGAGTACGTTAGATTGAATGAGTGCACTCCTCCGACGCATGTTAACTACCAGAAAGCCAGAGCTACAGGTCGCGGCGGTGGTGTTGCGATTATATCACACACCAACTTGGTTCTTAGTCCCAAAACCAACAACGCTTTTCACTCGTTTGAAAACTTAACACTTTCAATCACCTGTCCTGGGTGGAGAAAACAAAAAGCAGTACTATTTATAGTTTTATACCGACCTCCTGGTCCTTACAGCGAGTTCCTAACAGAATTCTCTGACTTCATTTCAAACCTAGTTTTGGAATGGGAAAACATAGTTATAGCTGGAGACTTCAATATACATGTGGACGACAGCACTGACAGCTTAAACAAAGCTTTCAGCGCCGTACTAGATGGTGTTGGTTTTACTCAGAATGTCGAGGGACCTACTCACATTCATAACCACACCTTGGACCTTGTCCTGACCTACGGCTGTGATGTCTCCAATGTTGACATCCAGCGTCAAAGCTCGTTGCTGTCTGACCATTTCTTGATCACGTTTGATCTCGCTTTGGAGGACTTTCCTGTCCCGCAAGATAAAACCATAATGAAAAGAACCTTAAATGATAAATCTATCACAAGGTTCAAAGAACTAATACAGCCTATGTTGAATACTGCTGCAGGTGAACCTGTTCACAGCAGCTGCAGTCCCTCAGTCATCGACCAAACGGTGGGCAACACTATGGAGTCTTTAAAATCTGCATTAAATGCAGCAGCTCCTTTAAAACAGAAAACCATTAGGATTAGATCATCGTCGCCCTGGTACAGTGTTCAACTCCACACTTTAAAACAGGACGTCAGAAAATTGGAGAGGCTATATCGCCACTCCCACTCGGAGCCTGTCCACAGGGAGTGGAAAGCAGGTCTCCGAAACTACAAGAAGGCCCTTCGCGGGGCTCGAACTCAATACTATTCAACTTTAATAGAAGCGAATAAAAACAACAGTAGATTTTTGTTTGGTACCGTCGCTAAACTCACAAACTGCCATAGCGCAATCGAGCCTAAAATTCCAAGCTCACTGAGCAGTGTCGACTTTCTCCACTTCTTTAATAATAAAATTACATCCATCCGTGACAAGCTGGAGGAGGTTGCTCCTGCTGTTAGTGGTGGACAGGTTGAAGCGGCATACGTGACTTCCCACTTAGACTCTTCAGTGGGCCTTAATAAATTCATGGCTGTGAGCCAAGCAGAGGTGATCTCTGTGGTCACATCCTCAAAAGCCTCAACTTGCATGTTAGACGCAGTCCCGACATGGCTCTTCAAAGACATACTTCCTTTGATAATTGAGCCTATCGTAAATATAATAAACGCATCCATACAATGTGGCTATGTCCCACAAGCTTTTAAAACCGCGGTAATCAAACCCCTTCTGAAGAAAACAAACCTGGACCCAGAAATACTTACAAACTACAGACCGATCTCGAACCTCACTTTTATATCTAAAATCCTGGAAAAACTTATAGCTGAGCAGCTCCGCTGCCACCTGCAGGAAAATGATATGTTTGAAGTCTTTCAATCAGGATTCAGAGCTCATCATAGCACTGAAACGGCACTAGTCAAAGTCACAAATGACTTACTACTAGCTGCCGATAATGGACAAGTGTCAGTGCTGGTCCTACTGGACCTTAGTGCTGCATTTGACACAATAGACCACAGCATTCTACTGCAGAGGCTAGAATGTGATATAGGTCTTAGAGGAACAGCCCTTGGCTGGTTTAAATCCTATTTATCAGATCGATATCACTTCGTCAATGTGAATCAGGACTCGTCGCCTTATTCTGGAGTGGAATTCGGTGTGCCGCAGGGTTCGGTACTCGGACCGATTCTTTTTACTCTCTACATGCTGCCACTGGGAAACATTATTAAAAAGCATGGAATTAATTTCCACTGCTATGCAGATGACACACAGCTTTATCTGTCGATGAAGCCTAATCAGACAGATCAGCTAGAAAAGCTCAGTGCCTGCATAAAGGACCTTAAAATGTGGATGACTCTTAACTTCCTACTTCTCAACCCGGAGAAGACAGAAGTGATCCTACTCGGTCCGAAGCGCCTGCGTGACTCCCTCACTAACCAGATGGTTACTCTCGATAATGTCAGTATAATACCCAGTAACACTGTGAGGAATCTTGGAGTCATTTTTGACCAAGAACTCTCCTTCAAGGCTTATATAAGCCAAGCAACTAAAACGGCGTACTTCCACTTACGGAACATCGCTAAAATTAGGAATTTCCTTCCTAAAAGTGACGCGGAAAAACTCATTCACGCGTTTGTCACCTCAAGGCTCGACTACTGTAACGCTTTACTGGCAGCGTGCCCTAAAGCCTCTTTGAAGAGCTTCCAGCTCGTTCAGAATACAGCAGCTAGGATCTTAACAGGTACCAAAAGGAGGGAGCACATAACTCCGGTGTTAAAATCACTCCACTGGCTCCCTGTGGAGTACAGAATAAAGTTTAAAATCCTACTCTTAACATATAAAGCCATAAATGGCTTGGCTCCTTCTTATCTCCAAGACACGTTAGTGTCGTATCAACCAAGTCGAGCGTTGCGCTCACAAAACGCCAGACGTCTGGTGGTCCCTAAGGCTCAAAGGTCACTGTTGGTGGCAGAGCATTTAGCTACCAAGCTCCTTTACTGTGGAATCAGCTTCCCATTTATGTTAAGGAAGCAGATACGGTCTCCACATTCAAGGCCAGGCTTAAAGCACTTTACTTTAATTTAGCATATAATTAGGTAATATATAATATGTAGTGTATATATTATATATATATGCTGTATTATGTTATATATTATGTTATATATTATTCAATAATGTATTGTGTTATGTTGTATATTATGTTATATATTATGCTGTATGTTATTCTTTATTCAAGGCTAGGTTTAAAACAGTCCTCTTTAGTTTAGCATATGGCTAGGAAGGTAAGACTCGGAGAAGGTTAAACTCCTCAGAGTGTCAGTCAAGCTGCATAGGGAGTCAGTTTGCTGGGAGAAGTATGGTAACTTGAGCACTATCCTCTCCTCCTTCCTACTTTATCTGTTTAGCATTTTTAGGATTCTGACTGTAGTTTGTTCATTGCTATTCACCCGTTGTCCCATTGTCTGTTTCATGGTACGATGACGGGATCTCTGAGCCTGGCCTCTTCCATCTACACCTGCGGACTGCCCCGCCCGACCCGCCTGGGAGTGCTTTGGTCCTGCACCGGACCTGTCCACGTTCAGCGTCCACTGGTCCACGTTCTGTAGCTAGCTTAGGTCCTAGATCATTAGTCTGTCCGTCCGGAGGAGCGGATCCCTTTCTCATATGGGTCTCCCTCCCTGTGGGTTTCCCTAGTTCTCCTCCAAGGTTTCTCACTTTTTCCCACTGGGTTTTTTAAGAGTTTTTCCTTGTCGATGCAGGAGGGTCTTGTTGGACAGTTAGTGTCCAACAGAAAGGATTGGTGATGATCAGGACACTTTAGCATTCTACAACATGTATGGACATTTTCTTCTGTGTGTGCTTTATATTCTTCATGTGTTTTAACTGTTGATTCTCTGACCTGTGTTGGTGATTTCAATGGTTTTGTTAAGTCCTCTGAGATGACTTCTGTTGTGACCTAGGGCTATACAAGAATAAATTGTATTGTGTATTGTAACTTAATAAAACAGTCTCGTCTATAAATGAAAAATGTGCAAAAACTGGAAGAGCTTTGTAAATGAATGATCGTTACCGTTTCTGGCACGTCTTGATTCTGTGGCTCTCCGTCTCCTTCGTCCTGGTTCAGCCTTTCACCGGGAAGATCATTGTCTAAGTTGAAAGGAAACCAACCCGCCTGGTGCCTACAACAAAGAACATATTTTATTTCTTCATTCAAACTCACACAATATCTCGTTACATACGTCACAGTAAACTCAGATCCAATGGTTTCAATCTGCAAAAGGAGTTAGCCCCTCCCACCTGTTCACGGAGTCAATGGAGCACCTCCAGACCTTAGTACGAAATGTAATTTGTACTGTGGTGTGGTACGACCAGGCTAACAAACTCCCACAAACTAAGTAAGTAAGTAAGTAATCTTTATTTATATACCGCCTTTCACAGACCAGAGTCACAAAGCGGTTTACAATTGTTATTTTTGGGCATTTGTCCTCTCACTCCACACAGAGATGGGAGTGGGGCCAGTACAGGAGGCACATGCCAGACCTATTGGGCATATTTTTAGTAGTAGGGGAAACCGGAGTACCCGGAGGAAACCTACGCAGACACAGGGAGAACATGCAAACTCCACTCAGAACTCCCACAATGCAACATTATGTAAAGGACTTTGAAACAAAACATGTTTTTGTTGCTCCTCAGTCCTGTTTGGAACAACTCACTAAATGAGACCAGTTTATGAGAGACTTCTATTCTGAAAAGATTGAATTGAAAGAGCTCTGGTAACGTCAGAAGGTTCCAGGAGGAGAGGTTAGCACTCAGGCCTCACAGCGGCTGGGTCCCATTTCTGCCTTTCACTGTGGACCTCACATGTTTATTCTTGTGGCAGAGAGAGTTTTCTCCACCACAATATTTAACATCTATGACTATTATGGTCCTGAACAAACTGAGAAAAAACATCTGTAGATGGATCTGCAGGCGCCCAGAGGCAGAGCAGCATGGGTCAAATGCACAGAAACCTTAACCTTAAAGTGGCTTTTGGAGATCCTTTCTCCCTGGTTATGTCAGAACTCACAGATACAGCACCAACATGGCCACCAGCACCATGAAGAAGCGACTGAAGGAGGAGTAGAAGTAGACTATGCTGAGCAGGATGGCGGCTCTGGAGAAGGTGTAGACCCAGTCCAGCCAGTCCCGGTTCATGTCCTCCTCGTTCATCACGTCCCCGCCCTGAGCGTTCATGCGAACCTCCGGATTTCGCCGATCGGCCTGAGCTCTGTGGTTCTGGGAGCTGCTCTCGTTGGACTGAGGCGACTGGTGCTGAGCCGCTGCCATCAAGTGACTGCGGACACAGAATCCATGTTGATAGTGTTCAAAAACAGGACTTAAAGAGTTTTACGCGTAGCAGAGAGAAAGCAGAGACTCACTAATGCATGTAGTACTGCTGGGCATAGAGCTGCTGCCACCACATCAGGCTCATGTGCTGGTAATACACCGGAGACTGTGTGGGACCAGGAAGCATCTGGGACCAGCTGCAGGAGGAGAGATCACAGAATCAGACTCAGACAACCATCGTAAGACACTGACAACATGTGGGCACTGAATGAATAAGTCATTGGACAATATTAGAATGGCAAAAACAATGGCCGTACAGCAGGTGTCAAAGCGGACCTCAAAGCGGACCTCAAAGCGGCCCTCAGAGACCCAGTGCCTGCACCCATTTCCAAAAGTGAGTCCAGTCTGAACCCGGAGACTTGAGGAAATGGGTGGAGTGCCGTGAGCTCCTGCTTGGTTAGAATTAAAACCTGGAGCCACAGCGCTTCTTTCTGGAGTTTGAGCTTCTGCACAGAGCATCACTCACAAGGTTTATTTCTACTGTTATTGTTTATTTTATCTTTGAAACCAGGAGCTGTGGATGGAATGTGGTGCAGAACATCTGTGTCTTTGACCTGAATGTCACTGTGCATAGTCCCCGAAGACCACAGGAAACTCACTGTGTTTGTAACTGAAGACCAAGAGTTGGGACATACTCAGTTTTATAGCTGTCAATCATCAAACTATGAACAGATTTATGAGCAACGAAAAACCACCAAAACAAAGACACCTCTCAATCCAAATACATCTAAGAATAATAACATAGATAATCCAATGTGGACTGTACCTGTGCATATATCCAGGGAGCATGTGTGGATAAGGGTAGGCGGGTCTCTGCCGCAGTCCGTCGCTGGTCTCTCCAGGGGGGGGCGGGTTGTTCTGAGGAGGACTGGGGCTGTTTGAACTCTGCAAACACAACACACTCACGTTAAAAGGCTTCATGCAGCCGAGGGACAGAGCTGAGGTAAAAACACCCAGAGATGATGAAACAGTGGGAAATGTGACGCACCGCGGGACCGGAGCTCTGCGGGGAGCGAGTCCTGCTGGAGCCGCTGGAGCTGCTGGGCCTGGGGGAGGCAGGGGGGGTCCGCGAGGCACACACCAGGTGCAGCATGTGGTACTCATCGTGCTGCAGGGAAAATACACATCCTCAACGTCATCATAAGAGAATCTCTGCCTCTTCATTCAGACTTCATGAAGCTGAAGACTTTAGTTTGGCTTCTTAGTTTTGCTAAAGCTCGATATTTTTTATGGTCGTGCTCCTCAAATAAGACCAGAGAGTTTTGCTCAAAAAGTAGTAGTCGTAAAATGTGGGAAAATCCTCCTATCTGGGTTTGTTCACACTAAAGGGCACAAAAGTGTGACAGAGGCCAACATTTATATTTTAATGATCAGATGTTTTTCATGTACGAGAGAACTGCAGTTTCTCACAGTAACCGTCGCTGAGTCTGGACCTGATCCAGTGAAAAAGTGATACTTTCATAGTAAACCAAATAAAAGTTTGATTATTAGAAAAAAATTGACTGAAACCATCACATTTTCCAAAGGTCATTTAAATTTATATCCATACCACTGGGTAATAAAAACATATTATTTGGAAAATAGTCCAGGGTTTTCAGCTGAATCAGACTAATGTTGATGCTCTGAGTCTGAAAATGACCTTGGTTTTGCTCAATCAGGTCTGGATTTTTTGCTACAGAAATATTTTTTTAAATCGATTTTGCGTAAAAAAACTAATTTCTGCGGATCATCAGCTGAGAAACCCTTGACGTTTTTTCCGTTTTCCTCAAGAAATAAGTCAACGTATCCAAAGTCATTCCGTTTTTATTTTCTCCATCAAATTTGATAAGCAGAATCCATAATAACGTAGACGTACATAATCCGTAACACTATGTATCTCACACAGTTGACCTGATAGAGACAAATGCATGTGATATTCTCAGAACACCAACATTAGTCTGAATCAGCTGAGAAACCCCTGACCATTTTTTGGATGTCAACTTGTGTAATTTTTTATATGATTCTTCTTTGTCTCTGAGCTGTTATTTTCTGTCACTGAGTCACAACAGAACGATACATCAGAGGCTGGTTTGGTTAATGTTATTATCAATCTTTTATTTAGATTTTATCCACACTTTCTCTTTGACATGTCTGTGTTTAAAATCTTTTTCTTTAATCTATGAAAGGTATTTTAGTTTTTGAGTTATGACGCATCAAAGTCCAGATACTTTAAAACTTTACTGTAAACACACCCTTATACCTTTAATATGGAGACATTCTATCGATAAATAGAAAAGAGTCAGATATGTTTAAGATACGATAAGATAAACATTATTGATCTGTTATGATGTAATTTAGTAAAATATATGACGATTTAGTGAAACATTATTAAAATAAGAAACACAAACATGTGTCCCGTTACCTTCCGCAGCACGTCCTTTAATGTGAAATGATCCAGAAGCAGTTTCCCAGAATAGACCAACCTCTGGTCTTTGGAGCTCTAAAAACAGAAGCAGAGAAGCCGCAAGTTCAAAACCCAACAAACTCAAAATCACATCACAATAAAACTCTTTCACTAAACACTGGGGTTCAACTAACGGCAAAAACAAGACAATTCTCGACGACTTTGGCGACAGTGGCTCAGTTGGTAGAGTATTGGCCTTTGAGCCCGAAGGTCATGGGTTCGAGCCCACGACGAGACCTTCTCCACCGACCTCACACACGCCTGCTGTCGTTGTGTCCCTGGGCAAGACACTTAACCCACTCTGCGTGTAAGAAGCGCAGAAGTGATGGTTGCTGCATGCCTTGGTGTATATGTGTATCTGTATACTGTATGTGTATACTGTATGTGTATACTGTATATGTATCTGTATACTGTATATGTGTATCTATACTGTATGTGTATGTGTATCTGTATACTGTATATGTGTATCTATACTGTATGTGTATGTGTATCTGTATACTGTATGTGTATCTGTATGTGTATCTGTATCTGTATACTGTATCCTGTATCTGTATCTGTATCTGTATCTGTATACTGTATTGTGTATACTGTATGGTATACTGTATGTGTATGTGTATGTGTATACTGTATGTGTATGTGTATGTGTATACTGTATGTGTATACTGTATGTGTATCTGTATAATGTATGTGTATACTGTATGTGTATACTGTATGTGTATGTGTATCTGTATACTGTCTGTGTATGTGTATGTGTATCTGTATGTGTATCTGTATCTGTATACTGTATGTGTATCTGTATGTGTATCTGTATACTGTATTGTGTATACTGTATGGTATACTGTATGTGTATGTGTATCTGTATACTGTATGTGTATGTGTATACTGTATGCTGTATACTGTCTGTGTATGTGTATCTGTATACTGTATGTGTATGTGTATCTGTATACTGTATGTGTATGTGTATCTGTATACTGTATACTGTATGTGTATCTGTATAATGTATGTTTATACTGTATGTGTATGTGTATCTGTATACTGTCTGTGTATGTGTCTGTGTATGTGTATCTGTATACTGTATGTGTATGTGTATACTGTATGTGTATACTGTATGTGTATACTGTATGCTGTATGTGTATACTGTATGTGTATACTGTATACTGTATGTGTATCTATACTGTATGTGTATGTGTATCTGTATACTGTATGTGTATCTGTATACTGTATGTGTATCTATACTGTATGTGTATCTATACTGAATGTGTATCTGTATACTGTGTGTGTATGTGTATGTGTATGTGTATCTGTATGTGTATCTGTATACTGTATGTGTATCTGTATACTGTATGTGTATCTGTATACTGTATGTGTATACTGTATGCTGTATGTGTATACTGTATACTGTATGTGTATCTATACTGTATGTGTATGTGTATCTGTATACTGTATGTGTATCTGTATACTGTATGTGTATCTATACTGTATGTGTATCTATACTGTATGTGTATCTGTATACTGTGTGTGTATGTGTATGTGTATCTGTATGTGTATCTGTATACTGTATGTGTATCTGTATACTGTATGTGTATCTGTATACTGTATGTGTATATGTATGAGTATGTACATGTGTATGCATCAAACTGAAATGTCCCCATAGTGGGACGAATAAGAGACCTGATTCTATAGAGCGATACCTCTGCTGCTAAAGTGCAATACCTCTGCTGCTAAAGTGCAATACCTCTGCTGCTAAAGTGCAATACCTCTGCTGCTAAAGTGCAATACCTCTGCTGCTAAAGTGCAATACCTCTGCTGCTAAAGTGCAATACCTCTGCTGCTAAAGTGCAATACCTCTGCTGCTAAAGTGCAATACCTCTGCTGCTAAAGTGCAATACCTCTGCTGCTAAAGTGCAATACCTCTGCTGCTAAAGTGCAATACCTCTGCTGCTAAAGTGCAATACCTCTGCTGCTAAAGTGCAATACCTCTGCTGCTAAAGTGCAATACCTCTGCTGCTAAAGTGCAATACCTCTGCTGCTAAAGTGCAATAACATCTGTAAATGTGAAACCTCGTGACTGCTGCTAACTGCAGTGTTTACTTCAGTGACTATCCTTGATGTGCAATTAGAGCTCCAGAGTTTATTATTGCATTATTTTAATATTTATAATCTTTAACAACAGATCCTGTTTGATGTGTGCAGGACCTGAGTCTCCTTCTACTCTCCTTCTGTTCTCTTTTCTCATTCTTTCTCCTCTAGTGTTTACAAATACAACAGTGAAATGTCCCCACAGAGACAAAGAATGGGTTTATCTGATCGTGTTTTAACCCTTGGGTCAAAATGACGTCACATATGATTAAAAGTAGCAGAAAAATATTAGCCCTGCATGACCCAGGGCTGGACAAGTTGGAACATCATGTGTGTGATCCATGTGTGTGTGATCCATGTGTGTGTGATCCATGTGTGTGTGATCCGTGTGTGTGTGATCCATGTGTGTGATCCATGTGTGTGATCCATGTGTGTGATCCATGTGTGTGATCCATGTGTGTGATCCATGTGTGTGGGATCCATGTGTGTGTGATCCATGTGTGTGTGTGATCCATGTGTGTGTGATCCATGTGTGTGTGATCCATGTGTGTGTGATCCATGTGTGTGTGATCCATGTGTGTGTGATCCATGTGTGTGTGATCCATGTGTGTGTGATCCATGTGTGTGTGATCCATGTGTGTGTGATCCATGTGTGTGTGATCCATGTGTGTGTGATCCATGTGTGTGTGATCCATGTGTGTGTGATCCATGTGTGTGTGATCCATGTGTGTGTGATCCATGTGTGTGTGTGATCCATGTGTGTGTGATCCATGTGTGTGTGATCCATGTGTGTGATCCATGTGTGTGATCCATGTGTGTGTGATCCATGTGTGTGTGTGATCCATGTGTGTGTGATCCATGTGTGTGTGATCCATGTGTGTGTGATCCATGTGTGTGTGATCCATGTGTGTGTGATCCATGTGTGTGTGATCCATGTGTGTGTGATCCATGTGTGTGTGATCCATGTGTGTGTGATCCATGTGTGTGTGATCCATGTGTGTGTGATCCATGTGTGTGTGATCCATGTGTGTGTGATCCAGGTGTGTGTGTGTGATCCATGTGTGTGTGATCCATGTGTGTGTGATCCATGTGTGTGTGTGTGTGATCCATGTGTGTGTGATCCATGTGTGTGTGATCCATGTGTGTGATCATGTGTGTGATCCATGTGTGTGTGATCCATGTGTGTGTGATCCATGTGTGTGTGATCCATGTGTGTGTGATCCATGTGTGTGTGATCCATGTGTGTGTGATCCATGTGTGTGTGATCCATGTGTGTGTGATCCATGTGTGTGTGATCCATGTGTGTGTGATCCATGTGTGTGATCCATGTGTGTGTGATCCATGTGTGTGTGATCCATGTGTGTGTGATCCATGTGTGTGTGATCCATGTGTGTGTGATCCATGTGTGTGTGATCCATGTGTGTGTGATCCATGTGTGTGTGATCCATGTGTGTGTGATCCATGTGTGTGATCCATGTGTGTGTGATCCATGTGTGTGTGTGATCCATGTGTGTGATCCATGTGTGTGTGTTGATCCATGTGTGTGTGATCCATGTGTGTGTGTGTGTGTGATCCATGTGTGTGATCCATGTGTGTGTGATCCATGTGTGTGTGATCCATGTGTGTGATCCATGTGTGTGATCCATGTGTGTGATCCATGTGTGTGATCCATGTGTGTGTGATCCATGTGTGTGATCCATGTGTGTGTGATCCATGTGTGTGATCCATGTGTCATGTGTGTGATCCATGTGTGTGTGATCCATGTGTGTGATCCATGTGTGTGTGATCTGTGTGTGTGATCCATGTGTGTGTGATCCATGTGTGTGATCCATGTGTGTGTGATCCATGTGTGTGATCCATGTGTGTGATCCATGTGTGTGATCCATGTGTGTGTGATCCATGTGTGTGATCCATGTGTGTGTGTTGGATCCATGTGTGTGATCCATGTGTGTTGATCCATGTGTGTGTGATCCATGTGTGTGATCCATGTGTGTGTGATCCATGTGTGTGATCCATGTGTGTGATCCATGTGTGTGATCCATGTGTGTGATCCATGTGTGTGATCCATGTGTGTGTGATCCATGTGTGTGATCCATGTGTGTGATCCATGGTGTGTGATCCATGTGTGTGTGATCCATGTGTGATCATGTGTGATCCATGTGGTGTGATCCATGTGTGTGTGATCCATGTGTGTGATCCATGTGTGATCCATGTGTGATCCATGTGTGTGATCCATGTGTGTGTGATCCATGTGTGTGATCCATGTGTGTGATCCATGTGTGTGATCCATGTGTGTGATCCATGTGTGTGATCCATGTGTGTGTGATCCATTGTGTGTGTGATCCATGTGTGTGTGATCCATGTGTGTGATCCATGTGTGTGTGATCCATGTGTGTGTGTGTGTGATCCATGTGTGTGATCCATGTGTGTGTGATCCATGTGTGTGATCCATGTGTGTGATCCATGTGTGTGTGATCCATGTGTGTGTGATCCATGTGTGTGATCCATGTGATCCATGTGTGTGATCCATGTGTGTGTGATCCATGTGTGTGATCCATGTGTGTGATCCATGTGTGTGATCCATGTGTGTGATCCATGTGTGTGATCCATGTGTGTGTGATCCATGTGTGTGTGATCCATGTGTTGTGTGTGATCCATGTGTGTGTGATCCATGTGTGTGTGATCCATGTGTGTGTGATCCATGTGTGTGTGATCCATGTGTGTGTGATCCATGTGTGTGTGATCCATGTGTGTGTGTGTGTGTGTGATCCATGTGTGTGTGATCCATGTGTGTGTGATCCAGTGGTGTGTGTGTGATCCATGTGTGTGTGATCCATGTGTGTGTGATCCATGTGTGTGTGATCCATGTGTGTGTGATCCATGTGTGTGATCCATGTGTGTGTGATCCATGTGTGTGTGATCCATGTGTGTGTGATCCATGTGTGTGTGATCCATGTGTGTGTGATCCATGTGTGTGTGATCCATGTGTGTGTGATCCAGTGTGTGATCCTGTGTGTGATCCATGTGTGTGTGATCCATGTGTGTGTGATCCATGTGTGTGATCCATGTGTGTGTGATCCATGTGTGTGTGATCCATGTGTGTGTGTGATCCTTGTGTGTGATCCATGTGTGTGATCCATGTGTGTGATCCATGTGTGTGTGATCCATGTGTGTGATCCATGTGTGTGATCCATGTGTGTGATCCATGTGTGTGATCCATGTGTGTGATCCATGTGTGTGATCCATGTGTGTGATCCATGTGTGTGATCCATGTGTGGTGTGTGTGATCCATGTGTGTGTGATCCATGTGTGTGTGTGATCCATGTGTGTGTGATCCATGTGTGTGTGTGTGTCAGTGTGTGATCCATGTGTGTGTGATCCATGTGTGTGTGATCCATGTGTGTGATCCATGTGTGTGTGATCCATGTGTGTGTGATCCATGTGTGTGTGATCCATGTGTGTGATCCATGTGTGTGTGATCCATGTGTGTGATCCATGTGTGTGATCCATGTGTGTGATCCATGTGTGTGTGATCCATGTGTGTGTGATCCATGTGTGTGATCCATGTGTGTGATCCATGTGTGTGTGATCCATGTGTGTGATCCATGTGTGTGATCCATGTGTGTGGATCCATGTGTGTGATCCATGTGTGTGATCCATGTGTGTGATCCATGTGTGTGATCCATGTGTGTGATCCATGTGTGTGATCCATGATGTGTGTGATCCATGTGTGTGTGATCCATTGTGTGTGATCCATGTGTGTGATCCATGTGTGTGTGATCCATGTGTGTGATCATGGTGTGATCCATGTGTGTGATCTGTGATGATCCATGTGTGTGATCCATGTGTGTGATCCATGTGTGTGATCCATGTGTGTGTGATCCATGTGTGTGTGATCCATGTGTGTGATCCATGTGTGTGTGATCCATGTGTGTGTGATCCATGTGTGTGATCCATGTGTGTGTGATCCATGTGTGTGATCCATGTGTGTGATCCATGTGTGTGTGATCCATGTGTGTGTGATCCATGTGTGTGTGTGTGATCCATGTGTGTGATCCATGTGTGTGATCCATGTGTGTGATCCATGTGTGTGATCCATGTGTTGTGATCCATGTGTGTGATCCATGTGTGTGATCCATGTGTGTGATCCATGTGTGTGATCCAGTGTGTGTGTGATCCATGTGTGTGATCCATGTGTGTGATCCATGTGTGTGATCCATGTGTGTGATCCATGTGTGTGTGATCCATGTGTGTGTGATCCAGTGTGTGTGATCCATGTGTGTGATCCATGTGTGTGATCCATGTGTGTGTGATCCATGTGTGTGATCCATGTGTGTGATCCATGTGTGTGATCCATGTGTGTGATCCATGTGTGTGTGATCCATGTGTGTGATCCATGTGTGTGATCCATGTGTGTGATCCATGTGTGTGATCATGTGTGATCCATGTGTGTGTGATCCATGTGTGTGTGATCCTGTGTTGATGTGTGTGATCCATGTGTGTGATCCATGTGTGTGATCCATGTGTGTGATCCATGTGTGTGATCCATGTGTGTGATCCATGTGTGTGATCCATGTGTGTGATCCATGTGTGTGATCCATGTGTGTGATCCATGTGTGTGATCCATGTGTGTGATCCATGTGTGTGTGATCCATGTGTGTGATCCAGTGTGTGTGATCCATGTGTGTGATCCATGTGTGTGATCCATGTGTGTGTGATCCATGTGTGTGATCCATGTGTGTGTGATCCATGTGTGTGTGATCCATGTGTGTGTGATCCATGTGTGTGTGATCCATGTGTGTGATCCATGTGTGTGATCCATGTGTGTGATCCATGTGTGTGATCCATGTGTGTGATCCATGTGTGTGTGATCCATGTGTGTGATCCATGTGTGTGTGATCCATGTGTGTGTGATCCATGTGTGTGATCCATGTGTGTGTGATCCATGTGTGTGATCCATGTGTGTGTGATCCATGTGTGTGTGATCCATGTGTGTGATCCATGTGTGTGATCCATGTGTGTGATCCATGTGTGTGTGATCCATGTGTGTGATCCATGTGTGTGATCCATGTGTGTGATCCATGTGTGTGATCCATGTGTGTGATCCATGTGTGTGATCCATGTGTGTGATCCATGTGTGATCCATGTGTGTGATCCATGTGTGATCCATGTGTGTGATCCATGTGTGTGATCCATGTGTGTGATCCATGTGTGTGATCCATGTGTGTGATCCATGTGTGTGATCCATGTGTGTGTGATCCATGTGTGTGTGATCCATGTGTGTGTGATCCATGTGTGTGATCCATGTGTGTGATCCATGTGTGTGATCCATGTGTGTGATCCATGTGTGTGATCCATGTGTGTGATCCATGTGTGTGATCCATGTGTGTGTGATCCAGTGTGTGGATCCATGTTGTGTGATCCATGTGTGTGTGATCATGTGTGTGATCCATGGGTGTGATCCATGTGTGTGATCCATGTGTGTGATCCATGTGTGTGATCCATGTGTGTGTGATCCATGTGTGTGATCCATGTGTGTGATCCATGTGTGTGTGATCCATGTGTGTGATCCATGTGTGTGATCCATGTGTGTGATCCATGTGTATTGAGGACATGTATGACCCATGAATACTGGCGTCCGTCCTCTGTGTTGACTCAGGAGGGTCACAGGGAGCGCTCTGTCCCTGAAAGTTTGCGGTGTTCGTAACGAGGTTAGTGAGAGCGAGCGGTAACTAAAGCCGGAGCAGATTAGCAGCACAGGGCGCTTCTTAACAGTGATGTAATAACAACAATGCTTGACACAATGCAAGAAGAAAGACTAATCTAATCTGAATACGGTTTATCTTCAAGCCACTGGGAGCAGATTAATCAGGAACGGTTAAAGCGGTCATAGTCACAAGATTATTAAGACCAAAGACTGCAGAGTTATTGATACTGAGTGAGAACCTGGCTCTCTCCAACTATTATTAACTATTATTATATGTTTGATTCCCTGCTGGACTCACCGGTTTGCTGGGGTACACATCAGAGAGGTGAGCCTTGAGTTTCTCCACAGTCCAGTCCTGGAAACAGTTGATGGTCTGGTCTCCATACTTCTGGTTCGGGGCTCGGATCACCAGCGTGACAGGATGGTCCACCACACCCGGGTCCATGGCTCGTTACTGGGCTCAGAGTTACCCACTGGGGGTACGGTCCAGTCTCAACACATCCTTCAGTGATCCATGGTCTCTCAGAGGACAGTCTTCTGTACTTCATACAGAAACATGTCCAGACCTGGGACAGGACCAGAAAGAACCAATGTCCTCAGTAACTGGAGGTAAACATGGGTCAGTTTGAGTGGAATTAAATACATTAAATAAATAACGACAGAAGAGAAGCAGAGGAAACACATCACAACAACACAGCAATAAAACTATGAGGAAGAACAGTTTGTTAAAGCTAACGTGAGCTATTCTGCATCAGCTGGAGCTACCGCTAGCTAACCTGTTAGCAACAAGCTAAGCTAGCTCCAGTATTACCTTCGATTATGGTCCTAATACAACACAAGACTACACACAGAAACACACTCACCACAAAGACACACATTCACCACAAAGACACACACTCCTTATTCTGTCCACAGAACCACAAACACCAGTGTGTGTGGATAAAACTGTTTACTTACAGTGTTCACACGGTTTAAAGAGCTCTGCAGCAGGACACTGTCAGCGCCCTCTGGTGGACGTCCAGGACACTGCAGGACATGGATCTATCATAATATCACTACAGGATACTGTCAGCGCCCTCTGGTGGACGTCCAGGACACTGCAGGACATGGATCTATCATAATATCACTACAGGATACTGTCAGCGCCCTCTGGTGGACGTCCAGGACACTGCAGGACATGGATCTATCATAATATCACTACAGGATACTGTCAGCGCCCTCTGGTGGACGTCCAGGACACTGCAGGACATGGATCTATCATAATATCACTACAGGATACTGTCAGCGCCCTCTGGTGGAGCTTTAGGACACTGCAGGACATGGATCTATATTCGGAGTGAGCAGGCCTCTCTGCTCAGGACTTTTTATGACTCTGTGGTTGCCTCAGCCATACATTACGCTGCCGTGTGCTGGGCCCCGGGCAGCACAGAGCGGGACAGAAACAGACTGAACAAGCTGGTCAGGAGGAGGTGAGGGACAGGAGGCCCCTGGACTCTGTGGAGGAGGTGAGGGACAGGAGGCCCCTGGACTCTGTGGAGGAGGTGAGGGACAGGAGGCCCCTGGACTCTGTGGAGGAGGTGAGGCACAGGAGGCCCCTGGACTCTGTGGAGGAGGTGAGGGACAGGAGGCCCCTGGACTCTGTGGAGGAGGTGAGGGACAGGAGGCCCCTGGACTCTGTGGAGGAGGTGAGGGACAGGAGGCCCCTGGACTCTGTGGAGGAGGTGAGGGACAGGAGGCCCCTGGACTCTGTGGAGGAGGTGAGGGACAGGAGGCCCCTGGACTCTGTGGAGGAGGTGAGGGACAGGAGGCCCCTGGACTCTGTGGAGGAGGTGAGGGACAGGAGGCCCCTGGACTCTGTGGAGGAGGTGAGGGACAGGAGGCCCCTGGACTCTGTGGAGGAGGTGAGGGACAGGAGGCCCCTGGACTCTGTGGAGGAGGTGAGGGACAGGAGGTGCTAGTCAAAGTCACCTCCATCATGGACAACACCTCCCACTGCACAGGACTGAGGAGGAGCTGAGGAGCTCCTTCAGTGGAAGACTGAGGCACCCTCAGTGCAAGAAGGAGCAGGGCCTTTATCCCCACGGCTGTCAGACTGTACAACAAGTCACTTTAAGTCACTTGCACTAGGACTGAAAAACCTGCACTGCTACTGACACTGTTTCTTGATTGCAGTGCATTTAACATGTTGCACATTTCTTTCTTTTGCACAATCTTGAGTGTTTCTATCCATGCCAGATGTGACATGTACATTTCTCCTGTGTGAGATCTATAAAGTCTATCTTATCTTACATTATAATATCACTACACGACACTGTCAGCGCCCTCTGGTGGACGTTCAGGGCAATGCAGGCCTCTTATATGATTGTTTTAATCCAGGTTAAAAACAGTTCTGTTTCGCTGAGCAACAACTGAGAGACTTTCTAATGTACTGTGATCTTTTTTATGATTCTAATGCCTTGTGTGATTGTTTCTATCTTGTTTTGTTCAGCACTTTGAGTTTCATTATGTATGAATTGTTCTATATGAATAAACTTGCCTTACCTTACAGAACATGGATCTATTATAATATCTCTACAGGAGACACGTCACCATCAATGTGTTCTGTTGTTTACAAAACCTACAGAAGTCTAAAGGGTCACTATGAAAATCCTCATTCCTTTGTTTGCTAACCAGAGATAGAAAAGTCATTATTTATTGTGTCTGGGCAACTACAGGAAACCAAATTGAAGAAGGAGTAATACCTCCTCATTCAAGTGCATGTTATAGTGACATAAGCACTTCTCTTCTGGAAGCTTGACATAAACATAACCCAAAGACGAAAAGAGAGAGAGAGAGAAACAAAACCCAAACATAAAAGCGTGACATCATTCTATACAGTAATAAATGTGTTAACAACATTCTTTTTATTTACTCACAAAACAACAAGTCGGACAAAGAGACTAACTTGTGTATCTGGATTATTGCTCTTGCCGTTTGGACCTAACATTTGGTGACACATGTGAAACTATACTGTGGTCTTCGTCCCATTACTCACTGTATCCTTAAATAACAGGTTTCAGATTCAGTCCATTCCATCCCATTTAAAAGTAAGTCTATGATGTGAATGAATCCGTGGGTCTGAGTTATTATTCTACCGTTACACAACTGCCTGAGCACTTCCTGTCCTTTCCCTTCATCGAGACTGTTTCCTCATGACGTCCAACATTTTATTTTCCCCTCTTTTGACGGACAGCTCTCGGTACAAGTTGTTTACGTGATGTTGTTGAGTCCATAAACTCAGCGTGACTTTCATTTCCTCCGTCGTCGTGTGGATACCGACCCATTAGCGCTGTTAGTGCCGCCGGCTTTATTTAGCTCTTTTTCTGCGAACAATTTAGAACATCCACTATTTTAACAGGAAAAAACAGGAAATTTGGGTCAAAAACGTCTGAGGTTTTGTTTTGTGTTTACAGTTCTGAGGCTCATGGGTGGAGTCGATCGTGTGGGCCGATTATCCACTTCCCTTTGCTCTGTAGTTGCTCTGTGGTTGCTCTGTGGTTACTCTGTAGTTGCTCTGTGGTTGCTCTGTGGTTGCTCTGTGGTTGCTCTGTGGTTACTCTGTGGTTGCTCTGTGGTTGCTCTGTGGTTACTCTGTGGTTACTCTGTAGTTGCTCTGTGGTTGCTCTGTGGTTGCTCTGTGGTTGCTCTGTGGTTACTCTGTGGTTGCTCTGTAGTTGCTCTGTGGTTGCTCTGGGGTTGCTCTGTGGTTGCTCTGTGGTTACTCTGTGGTTACTCTGTAGTTGCTCTGTGGTTGCTCTGTGGTTGCTCTGTGGTTGCTCTGTGGTTACTCTGTGGTTACTCTGTAGTTGCTCTGTGGTTGCTCTGTGGTTGCTCTGTGGTTGCTCTGTGGTTACTCTGTAGTTGCTCTGTGGTTGCTCTGTGGTTGCTCTGTGGTTGCTCTGTGGTTGCTCTGTAGTTGCTCTGTGGTTGCTCTGGGGTTGCTCTGTGGTTGCTCTGTGGTTGCTCTGTGGTTACTCTGTGGTTGCTCTGTGGTTGCTCTGTAGTTGCTCTGGGGTTGGTCTGTGGTTGCTCTGTGGTTGCTCTGTGGTTGCTCTGTGGTTACTCTGTGGTTGCTCTGTAGTTGCTCTGGGGTTGCTCTGTGGTTGCTCTGTGGTTGCTCTGTGGTTGCTCTGGGGTTGCTCTGTGGTTGCTCTGTGGTTGCTCTGTAGTTGCTCTGGGGTTGCTCTGTGGTTGCTCTGTGGTTACTCTGTGGTTGCTCTGTGGTTGCTCTGTAGTTGCTCTGTGGTTGCTCTGTGGTTGCTCTGTGGTTGCTCTGTGGTTACTCTGTGGTTGCTCTGTAGTTGCTCTGGGGTTGCTCTGTGGTTACTCTGTGGTTGCTCTGTGGTTGCTCTGTAGTTGCTCTGGGGTTGCTCTGTGGTTGCTCTGTGGTTGCTCTGTGGTTACTCTGTAGTTGCTCTGTGGTTGCTCTGTGGTTGCTCTGTGGTTACTCTGTAGTTGCTCTGTGGTTGCTCTGTGGTTGCTCTGTGGTTGCTCTGTGGTTGCTCTGGGGTTGCTCTGTGGTTGCTCTGTGGTTACTCTGTGGTTGCTCTGTGGTTGCTCTGTAGTTGCTCTGTGGTTGCTCTGTGGTTGCTCTGTGGTTGCTCTGTGGTTGCTCTGTGGTTACTCTGTGGTTGCTCTGTGGTTGCTCTGTGGTTGCTCTGTAGTTGCTCTGGGGTTGCTCTGTGGTTGCTCTGTGGTTGCTCTGTGGTTACTCTGTGGTTGCTCTGTGGTTGCTCTGTGGTTGCTCTGTAGTTGCTTTGTGGTTGCTCTGTGGTTGCTCTGTGGTTACTCTGTGGGTGCTCTGTGATTACTCTGTGATTACTCTGTGGTTGCTCTGTAGTTGCTCTGTGTTTGCTCTGTAGTTGCTCTGTGGTTGCTCTGTGGTTACTCTGTGGTTGCTCTGTGGTTGCTCTGTGGTTGCTCTGTAGTTGCTCTGTGGTTGCTCTGTGGTTACTCTGTGGGTGCTCTGTGATTACTCTGTGGTTACTCTGTGGTTGCTCTGTAGTTGCTCTGTGTTTGCTCTGTAGTTGCTCTGTGGTTGCTCTGTGGTTACTCTGTGGTTGCTCTGTAGTTGCTCTGTGTTTGCTCTGTAGTTGCTCTGTGGTTGCTCTGTGGTTACTCTGTGGTTACTCTGTAGTTGCTCTGTGGTTGCTCTGTGGTTGCTCTGTGGTTGCTCTGTGGTTACTCTGTGGTTGCTCTGTGGTTGCTCTGTGGTTACTCTGTGGTTACTCTGTAGTTGCTCTGTGGTTGCTCTGTGGTTGCTCTGTGGTTACTCTGTGGTTGCTCTGTAGTTGCTCTGTGGTTGCTCTGGGGTTGCTCTGTGGTTGCTCTGTGGTTACTCTGTGGTTACTCTGTAGTTGCTCTGTGGTTGCTCTGTGGTTGCTCTGTGGTTGCTCTGTGGTTACTCTGTGGTTACTCTGTAGTTGCTCTGTGGTTGCTCTGTGGTTGCTCTGTGGTTGCTCTGTGGTTACTCTGTAGTTGCTCTGTGGTTGCTCTGTGGTTGCTCTGTGGTTGCTCTGTGGTTGCTCTGTAGTTGCTCTGTGGTTGCTCTGGGGTTGCTCTGTGGTTGCTCTGTGGTTGCTCTGTGGTTACTCTGTGGTTGCTCTGTGGTTGCTCTGTAGTTGCTCTGGGGTTGGTCTGTGGTTGCTCTGTGGTTGCTCTGTGGTTGCTCTGTGGTTGCTCTGTGGTTGCTCTGGTTGCTCTGGGTTGCTCTGTGGTTGCTCTGTGGTTGCTCTGTGTTGCTCTGGTTGCTCTGTGGTTGCTCTGTGGTTCTCTGTTGCTCTGTGGTTGCTCTGTAGTTGCTCTGGGTTGCTCTGGTTGCTCTGTGCTCTGTGGTTCTCTGTGGTTGCTCTGTGGTTGCTCTGTGTTGCTCTGTGTTGCTCTGTGGTTGCTCTGTGGTTGCTCTGTGGTTGCTCTGTGGTTACTCTGTGGTTGCTCTGTAGTTGCTCTGGGGTTGCTCTGTGGTTGCTCTGTGGTTACTCTGTGGTTGCTCTGTGGTTGCTCTGTAGTTGCTCTGGGGTTGCTCTGTGGTTGCTCTGTGGTTGCTCTGTGGTTACTCTGTAGTTGCTCTGTGGTTGCTCTGTGGTTGCTCTGTGGTTGCTCTGTGGTTACTCTGTAGTTGCTCTGTGGTTGCTCTGTGGTTGCTCTGTGGTTGCTCTGTGGTTGCTCTGTAGTTGCTCTGGGGTTGCTCTGTGGTTGCTCTGTGGTTGCTCTGTGGTTGCTCTGTGGTTGCTCTGTGTTGCTCTGTGGTTGCTCTGTGGTTGCTCTGTGGTTGCTCTGTGGTTGCTCTGTGGTTGCTCTGTGGTTACTCTGTGGTTGCTCTGTGGTTGCTCTGTGGTTGCTCTGTAGTTGCTCTGGGGTTGCTCTGTGGTTGCTCTGTGGTTGCTCTGTGGTTACTCTGTGGTTGCTCTGTGGTTGCTCTGTGGTTGCTCTGTAGTTGCTCTGTGGTTGCTCTGTGGTTGCTCTGTGGTTACTCTGTGGGTGCTCTGTGATTACTCTGTGGTTACTCTGTGGTTGCTCTGTAGTTGCTCTGTGTTTGCTCTGTAGTTGCTCTGTGGTTGCTCTGTGGTTACTCTGTGGTTGCTCTGTGGTTGCTCTGTGGTTGCTCTGTAGTTGCTCTGTGGTTGCTCTGTGGTTACTCTGTGGGTGCTCTGTGATTACTCTGTGGTTACTCTGTGGTTGCTCTGTAGTTGCTCTGTGTTTGCTCTGTAGTTGCTCTGTGGTTGCTCTGTGGTTACTCTGTGGTTGCTCTGTAGTTGCTCTGTGTTTGCTCTGTAGTTGCTCTGTGGTTGCTCTGTGGTTGCTCTGTAGTTGCTCTGTGGTTGCTCTGTGGTTACTCTGTGGGTGCTCTGTGATTACTCTGTGGTTACTCTGTGGTTGCTCTGTAGTTGCTCTGTGTTTGCTCTGTAGTTGCTCTGTGGTTGCTCTGTGGGTGCTCTGTGGGTGCTCTGTGGTTGCTCTGTGGTTACTCTGTGGTTGCTCTGTGATTACTCTGTGGTTACTCTGTGGTTGCTCTGTAGTTGCTCTGTGTTTGCTCTGTAGTTGCTCTGTGGTTGCTCTGTGGTTGCTCTGTGGTTACTCTGTGATTACTCTGTGGTTACTCTGTGGTTGCTCTGTAGTTGCTCTGTGTTTGCTCTGTGGTTGCTCTGTGGTTACTCTGTGGTTACTCTGTGGTTGCTCTGCGGTTTCTCTGTGGGTGTAGGTACATGGCCACACAGGGTCAAACATCAACACTGCCAACAGCCTGTATCCTGAGCCTTTAAAAAAAAAAAATATATTATTGAACACTACATGCAAAGACAAACACAGTAAAAAGGATTTACACAGATTCTATAGTCCATAAGTTGAGTCCAGACCAGTACCAGACCAGTACCAGACCAGTACCTAACTGGACCCACCACACTCCTCTGTATCCTGAGCCTTAAGACTTCTGAATACTAAGCCCTTTCCTCTTTGCCCCTTCCCCTTTTTTCATTCTCTCCACACGGTGATGACAGGAGCGAGACGCCGAACACACTGGTCCATCAAAACCTCTGACCAAACACCATACATTCATTCACTACATTCAGACCTATTGTACATGTTTTTAGTGGTAGAGGAAACCGTAGCACCCGGAGGAAACCAACGCAGACACGGGAGAACATGCAAACTACAGTCAGAAAGACCCTGTTCCGACCAGAATTCAAATCCAGGACCTTCTTGCTTAGAAACGAGACTGCTAACCACTCAGCCACAGTGCCTTCCAATATAGAATCTCTCTCTCATCTCTCAGTCTTGTAAATGTTTTGTTCTCGGTGACACTGACGATACTGGATCCCAACCTCCGCATCGGTTACAGCAGTTTCCTTTCTTGTGTTTTGTCCAAACTCGCTGCTGCTGCTCCGGGTTTTTAGCGTTGACATATTTGGACGAAGATGCAGATTGTCTGAAGTGTGGGTTGTGTTGTCTCCTCGCAGCGAGACTCAGGAGTGAGAGAAGGTCAGTGGATCGTGCAGGACTTAATGAGACCGAGGGGAAAGGCTCCGAGGGCTTGGACATGTTTTGTTTATTGGCATTTTCAAAGTTCATTAATGTCGGAGCAGTTTGTCCGAGGGTAAAACATGACGAGTATCGACAGGTGAAACCAAAACCCCGACCCCAGACTTCATTACGGTCTCTGTGGAGCGTGTTCGCAGGACGTCAGGTCGTGTTTCATGATATTGTTCTTTACACATTTTGAATTTTAAAGTTACGACCGTTGCAAGTAAATAAGTAAGTAATCTTTATTCATACGGCGCCTTTCTCAGACCAAAGTCACAAAGCGGTTTACAGTTGTGGGCATTAGTCTCTGACTCCACACAGGGATGGGAGGGGCCAGTGCAGGAGGCACAGACCTACTGTACATGTTTTTAGTGGTAGGGGAAACCGGAGCACCTGGAGGAAACCTACGCAGACACAGGGAGAACATGCAAACTCCACTCAGAGAGGCACCATTCAGACTGAGATTCAGCCACAGTGTCGTGTTGTGTTTGTTATTGCCTCCTAAAAGTTTCTCACATTTCCCGCTGTTTCTTTTAGGACCGTGATAATCCAGGACTTTCATGCACATTTATTTACATTTACGGTCGTCCCTTTGGACCAGTGTGGGCGGGGCCCAGCTCCCAAGTGTCCAAAATGACGTGCGCTGACATGCTGCAATACCACCCCGGGCCGATGGGGGTGGACCCAGAAGAAGAAGCAGACCTCTGGAAAACGTCTTTACAGGATGGTCCAAAAGTTGGCTCTTGGCCCAAAGCTTCGTTCCACATGTGTGTCAATGCTGAGTGTTCTGGACCAGTCTAGTTTAGTCGCTGTAGACTTTAGAAGTCTCTCGTGTAAATGAATGGGGCTCGTGCAGCTGACGCATGCGCAGATGTGTTTTTTCACATTTTCCAGCCCCCGCGGCCATTTTGAAACTGCCCATAGCCCGCTGAAGTCATGGCACATTAGTTAGAACGGAGCAGATAGACGTGACTGCGTCTTTAATATTTACTGTGTTTTGGACCAATGTCTGTGTTTGTTATTATGACATTTCCTGTGTTTAAACTGTTTGATTCTCTGATCTGCTGTTGGTGAATAAACAATTTAGTAAAGTCCTCCACAAAGACTGAGGCTGTGATTTAGGTTTTTACATCATTATATTTTATTGAATAGAATTTTTGAAGACTAATGCCTTTGTACATTTCCCCTTGCCTGGTCTTACCACACCATAGTACAAATGACATTTCATACTAAGTTCTGGATTGTCTCCATTGACTCCGTTAACAGGTGGGAGGGGCTAACTCCTTTTGCAGATTGAAACCATTGGATCTGAGTTTACTGTGACGTATGTAATGAGCCCGAGTGAGTCGTTAGCATTTAGCATTTAGCCTAGCTTTAGCCATCTCCTTTGCCGCTAACGAAGCCGTGGGGAGTAACGCCACAATTGTTTCCAGCGATTACATTTGTTAAACATTCCTTTTGCTCGGGCTTCAGTTTCTTGATAGAACCAGACCAGATTACTTTACTATCGCATTCTTCTCCATTACCAAACTACAACCTTCCCGTTCAGTGCAAACTCTTGACGTCACCCACATCTAACTACAACACCCGCCTCCCGCGCTCTCTGATTGGTCGGTCGAAATTCAACCGATTGTAATCACAAACAGGGACCAGACCCAGACGTTACATGCAGGACATGATGATTGACAGGAGAGTACGGACGGATAAGACTGAGAGACTGTTGAACTGTTCTCTCATTGGCTGCTGTGTTTCTGTGTGTCAGTGTTAATAAAGAAGTGTGTCAGTGTTAATAAAGAAGATGTTTGTCCAGTGAAGGAGGATTCTTGCGGATGTTCCTCAGTCTCTGACAGAGTTTGTTTTCATGTTCGTCACTGATGCAGGTGCCGCCCAAAGGCCCAGACCTCAGGCAGGAAACTCATATCTGTTTTCTTTAGTTGAAATTCCAGCGGTAAAAGAAAAGTGCTGGAGGCTGATCCGTCCTTTATGGAACAAACAGTGAGTCAGAAACAGAAAGTCACGAATGGAAATGCTGCTCAACTTCAGTCTCATTATGGATCATATAAACAAATAATCAATGTTCATGACACAGTTATTATGAAATCAGGGTGGATCAACTGTGACATTATTACTGTGATTACAAACTGCAGCCCTTTCACTTCATTCACATAATATCGATACGATTGAATCTAAATTATCCACTGTCTCAATATTCTAACCTGATATTTTAAATCCTGTTGCTTCCACTAGGGGGCAGTGTGTGTTCAGGGTTTGAACCACAGCTGCACACAAGTATTTGCAGTGTCACACAAAGTCCATGTGTTTTAGAAGAACTTGCAATTTAAACATGTAAACATATTAAAACTCAATGCAAAAACAGTGCTTTTGAATTTGGATTTTGTTCTGAAAAATGTGTTTAGTTCAATGAAAATCTATAAAAACTCACATTTCCATGTTTGGTCATCATCAGTGTTTGGTGATTATGGATGCACGTTTACTGCAGACCAGGACTGAGTCTGCAGAGAGAGACCAGTCCGAGTCTGCAGAGAGAGACCAGTCCGAGTCTGCAGAGAGAGACCAGTCCGAGCCTGCAGAGAGAGTCCAGCTTGAGTCTGCAGAGAGAGACCAGTCTGAGTCTGCAGAGAGAGACCAGTCCGAGTCTGCAGAGAGAGACCAGTCTGAGTCTGCAGAGAGAGACCAGTCTGAGTCTGCAGAGAGAGACCAGTCTGAGTCTGCAGAGAGAGACCAGTCTGAGTCTGCAGAGAGAGACCAGTCTGAGTCTGCAGAGAGAGACCAGTCCGAGTCTGCAGAGAGAGACCAGTCTGAGTCTGCAGAGAGAGTCCAGCTTGAGTCTGCAGAGAGAGACCAGTCTGAGTCTGCAGAGAGAGACCAGTCCGAGTCTGCAGAGAGAAACCAGTCCGAGTCTGCAGAGAGAGACCAGTCTGAGTCTGCAGAGAGAGACCAGTCCGAGCCTGCAGAGAGAGACCAGTCCGAGTCTGCAGAGAGAGACCAGTCTGAGTCTGCAGAGAGAGACCAGTCTGAGTCTGCAGAGAGAGACCAGTCTGAGTCTGCAGAGAGAGACCAGTCCGAGTCTGCAGAGAGAGTCCAGTCCGAGTCTGCAGAGAGAGTCCAGTCCGAGTCTGCAGAGAGAGACCAGTCCGAGTCTGCAGAGAGAGACCAGTGTAAAACATTCTTATGCACATGTCATTGTCAGATAATGTTTTTTTTTGTTCATGCAATTGATGTTATTTTGCACGAGCTGCAACACTGCACATGCAAATCTGCATATTCATATTTAAACTATTAAAATGCATATTTCATGATAAAAGGAAAACTCTTGTACTGTGTTAATTTGCTCAAACCCATTTCAAACACATGTTTGTGAGTGATGCATGAAGAGAACTTCCGGTTTCCATTTGTAAAAATGACCTTGTCTTGAAAACACTGCAAAGCTTTCAGTTCTGCAGAGTTCTTATTTTCTCTTTTGAATAAGTGATGAATCTAATCAAAGTGTTTGATTGACTTGAGCTCATAATGAGCCTGACCTAAAGTAAAAAGGTAAAGCCCAGATCTGTGGGATCTTTTCCTCCTGGAGCTGAGTCTTACGCACTTGTCTCGCCGGTCCCCATGGAAACTGCTGCTCTCTGCAGAATGACCATATACAGACTTCCTGTCAGGGAGGGAGGGAGAGGGAGGGGGAGGGAGGGAGGGAGGGGGAGGGAGGAGGAGGGAGGGAGGGAGGGAGTGAAATATATATTTTTCAAAATGTTAGAATGTATTAGTTTTGCAGGCTCTCCTTCTCCTTGACCTGAAAGTGAAGCACAGGTACAGAGGTCTGCATCAGACTCACAGGTACAAAGGTCTGCATCATACTCACAGGTACAGAGGTCTGCATCAGACTCACAGGTACAAAGGTCTGCATCATACTCACAGGTACAAAGGTCTGCATCATACTCACAGGTACAGAGGTCTGCATCATACTCACAGGTACAAAGGTCTGCATCATACTCACAGGTACAGAGGTCTGCATCAGACTCACAGGTACAAAGGTC